TCAGTGTTAAGTTTTTGTGTTTTGGTCTGTTTTTCTTCAAATATAAGCAATAGATCAACTATATTTGATGTATGGAAGGATTGTAAGGTGTATATGTCTGTCTGGCAGGTATCATCTGACCTTGACCTCATTTTCATTGTTCATTGGTCAATGTTAAGTTTTCATGGTTAAGTTTGTTTCTTACATACTATAAGCAATAGGTCAACTATATTTAATGCCTAAATTGATTGTAAGGTGTACATGTCTGTCTGGCATGGTTCATCTGACCTTGACCTCATTTTCATGGTTCATTGGTCAATGTTACGTTTTCTTGTTTAATACTGTTTCTTAGAAACAATAAGCAATAGGTCAACTATGTTTGGTTTATTGAATGATTGTAAGGTGTACATGTATTTCTCGTTTGGTTTATCTGACCTTGACCTCATTTTCTTGGATCATGTTAAGTTTATGTGTTACTTGTTGTAAAGCTTTGCATTTAGGACTATCAACATAAAATCAATGGTTTGTAAAGAAGGTGAGACATTTCAGCATGTGCACTTTTGTGATATTCCATATTGTTTTGCAACTGCAATAATGATACATGCATCCTAGCGGCCATGTCCCTTTGATGTAAGCCACTTATCAAGGATTGATGATTGGATTTTTAACGCCACCTTCAGCACTCATGTCATTTAGTTTTTTATTGGTAGAGGAAGATGGAGTGCCGGGAGAGAACCATGACCTTCCACAAGAGAACTGGCAATCCTTGTCAATTAAGATTGGAGTCAAACACACCTGAAACATTTGGGGTTCGAACTCACAACCTCATTGTTGACAGACTAATGATGCTGTAAATGAATTACTTCGACCTCTTTACCACCAAGGCCCCAATATATCAATGAAACCCAATTCAATCTGTATGATGAGTTTTTGTAACTTAATTGTTCTAAGCTGGTAAAGTATAAATCTAAAAGTTTACACTGCATCCCAGACAAATTGAAGTAATCTTTTCTCACACTGAGTTCAACAAAAGGAGAGAAAATGTCATTGTTGGGTAAAGCTGTCAGTGTTTAATCAAATACATGTATATTTAATGAGACAAGGTGTCATTTACCCCCAGGCTTACATGTCAAATTAAAATTGAGATACATGTAACATGATAATGTATTACAAGGTTACATGTAATATCTGCTTATCAAGCAATTAAAAAATCAGATATTATTACCCCCCCCCCCCAACCCCAACCCTATCCTTATCCCCCCTTTGCAAACAAAGTTTTTTGGGGGATACATATATGATTCACTCTGTTTGTCCATCTGTCTGTTTGCCTGTTCATATCCCTTGTAAGCAAAATTCCAAACTGGCTGGTTTGATGTTGATGAAACTTTACACAGTGTAGAACACTACATGTACCTTAGGATGTACTTAAGGATGTACTTAGGTCAGGTTTAGGAATTTTTGTCAGATGTTCGGACTCCTTGGTTTTTTTCCTACAATACTGGGTAAAATATTTTGCCCCATATCACCCATTTTTCTTTTCATATAAGACTTCAATAGCTCATTAAAGGTCATGTACCAAAATTTAAGCAGATTCTTGATTTCTTTTCTTTTGATTTTGGGACCCAAATGATACCAATGCAAATATATGGTAAAAGTCCAAGTCAGCCTTTTCCCGCCATTTAAAAAAAATCAAATATCTTGAAAAGGAGCTCCATTACCTATCAATATTTTTAGCTTATTTTATTCCTCAACTAATGCTCTTCTGACTTATAGTATCAATTTTGAATTCTAGATTTGTTTTAATTTCACCCAAGTACATCCTTAATGCTAAAGGGAGAAAACCTTAGTCCTACATGCTGAAGGGGAGATAATCAAACTTATCGACTTCGATTTTACAATGTTTGGCAAGGATATGTATAGTGAAATCCTTGTGTATGGTAATAATATTATAGGGAGTATCTTTTTTGAGTTCACTCACATTTCTAGTGTTCTCTCCTTTGAACACACCAGAGCACTAAAATTAATATCTGAATTTTTAACAATAAACTTTAATTTATATGGTGCAAATCATCACAGCAATCTTTGGTATCACAATCTGCAAATAAAGAAAATCTTAAAATGTGGTTTAGTTTGATAATCTGAAAATATAAGGTATGAAATTGAATTACTGTATTAAGACACAAAATGATAGAAAATATGCAATAATTTCAAATAAGTAAGAAATATTATTTTGTTTTTTCTGTCATTGATTTCATTAATTTGTTGATGTTTGCGCTTATGAATAGAATTAATTGACTTGAGATTTAAAATTAGGGGAACTATGGTTCCCACTTTGTTTTTGGCAAAATAAATTTAATGAAAAATGGAGAGGACAATGAATAACTCCTAAACTATTAGCAGATTAGCAAAAGAAAAGCTTTTTTTCTTTATTATTCTTCTTACCTTCTGAAGTTTGCCCTCCCTCCCCAAAGACTTTTCAGTTCATAAGTATATGTCATGAATACTGCTTTTATCTTTTTTGCAGTTAAATGTATACTTACATGTATAAAATGTACACTAAATCTATAAAATATAAGTATTTGTTTATAGGGCAATAAAAATGGTATTTTATATGGTAAATGTCACACGACCTTCATCTATGAACAATTTGTACAGTAAATGAAGCTGAAAGGCATTTATTATGTGTTATTATAAATTGTGGCACAAATAGTCAAATAAATGAAGCTGGACTTCTAGGTACAGAGATTAATTTTTATACCAGGAATAACTGCTTTTGTGATTCATATTTTTTATAATCTAGGAATATACACTTCAAATGGAAAAAGGTAGGTGTCACACCGTTCTTTGGTGTTTTTTTTCTTCAATGATACAAAAGTTGCAAATGTTCCAGGTACTATACTGTGAAAGTTTCAAGTTATTTGTGGGTTAGTTAATTTCATAGATTTGTGTAATACTGTGGATTTATTATTATTTTGGTGTGTTACATGGGTATAGGTGAACCACAAATTTAAATGTTTAACGAAGTATAAATTTTCCATAGGCTTGTACCGTTATGCAGAATTGGCAAAAGCAGAAAATCAAATATCCACGAAAATACGATTTTTCCTCATTCCACGAAACTTTTGTACACTCGAAAATAATTGAATCCACAGTGTAGAAACTTCAAATTAACATGATTAAGATGAGGTGGAATACAAACTTTGATATCATTTATGTTCCAGTTTTTGAAATTACGCTTTTTTGAAAATGGGAGGAGGTATGATATACATGATATATAAGCCCTTATCTGGCCCCTGAAATTACACAACTGTTAAATTATTCAATCTTTTTTAAATAAAGCTGATTTTATTGATGACTTGATAAGATGATATATACAATGTAATCTGGACAGTTAAGTGCAGAAAAGTCAGTCAATTGACATATATTTGACCTGAAATGGTGTTCTGACATATAGTGATTGGCACTATAAAATAAGTAAGAACCAATACCTTGCCTTAAAAATAAAGTTTTATCTACATTAACATCTTTGCATAAGACATCTTGTAGCAACATATCTTTTGGTGCAAGTCTTTGGTTAGTACCTAAATATTAATGGCAAGATCTCTAACTAAGATATTATGGCAGTTTTTTGCATTATTGCATTACGGTAAATGCAAGAAGTTTAAAGCCTAAAAGACAAAATTTAAAAATGTGTGTAAATGCTGATAATTGATGTCTTGTTAACATCTGAAGAATATTATGGGATAGATTTATAATACTTTAATTTCCAAATCTAAAAAGGACCAAACAAGTGGCTTTATCATATCGTCTCCCTTTCTAGAAACCATGATAACTCAGCTTCCTGTACAAATAAGTAGTTTTCACAGTATAGTATAATAGCTTAGCTATATATATGCAATGTCTTTAATGCCATGCATATTCAAGAGTTACAAAATCTTATAGTTTTTTTTTTAAGTTAAATCTGTTGTGAAGTATTTGTTATATTTTGATTCATCTTGGAATACTCATGTTGATTTGATATTATGAACTTTGGACGCTAAAGTAAAAGTATATAGAATTCTTGATTTAATGGTCTGTACGAATGTAATGTATCAATATACCTTATAAAAATTTAGCCTGGATTGGACTAAGGGAGCTACCATTTGATTTTTATGGGGGGCTAGGATGCCAAGTTGCTCATCCGGCCTCTTTTTTTTTACTCAAAACTCCTGTCCTGCCTTTTTTTTTCAAATTTCATCCTAGCCCCCCTCCCCCCCCCCATAAAAATCAAATGGTAGCTCCCTAAATAGCATCAAGGTCTATAATATTAGTATCTGCATTAGACAAATTTGCTTTCCTGTCCATCTATATCACGAAATTGAAAATCATACATGATGTAATCACTTAAAATATAAGAGTTAAGATTTTTTATCCGTCTTTTGAAGAGTGAGCAAAAACAGATTAAAAATTTCATGCTGGAGTTAGAATTGCCAGAAACTTCTTGTCCTATAGAACTTTACTTTGATATAGGGTTTTACATAAATACTTTCTTGTATTAGATGACCAACATAGTGGAAGCTTTATGAGAAAAAAGGTGGGGGGGGGGTTTGAAATATAAACTGATCAAACTCTGTGAACATTATGTTACCTGATTATAGTTAAAATTTTTGTAGCCCAATAGACTCTTTAGTGTTTCCATAAAATTTAGTTGGTGTGTTTGTTGGACATTCTGATGAACAGCAATCATCTTGAAGAACACGGCCAGATGTTGAAAACTTGGGGAGATTTGAAGTTTTCTGCCATTATTGTTGTAATGCATAGCACAGTCTTGGTGCTATAGCATGAGACCTTTTATTTGCAAGTTTGAGAAAGAAATTTGTTGCACACACTGCATTTTCATCATCTTTCCTTACAAAAGTCTTCAATTATCTGCCTATGAAATGTTTAAATAGTTTGAGATTAAAGTAAAGATTTAAGTAGTTTTGACTTATTTAAATATTCCTTTTTATTATATTACGTTTTCTATTCAGGTTTGCATACATTATCAAATTGTAAGCCAATTACACCTGAAGCTTCCCCATGCACACCTTGTCAAATTTCTTATTTTATCATCCAGGTATCAATAAATGTTTACTATGTTTACCTGGATCTTGACCTATGACCTTGTACTCTCACACAAATATGTAGGAAATAATAGTAAATTTACACTTTTTTATGCAGGGAAGATCTTTCTAGTTGACTTATTTAAGGTGAAAATAGGTTTGTGAAATTTGATTTTCTTTCCAAGTTGGAGTAAGTTTTACATTTCATTCACACACAAACACACCCATGTATCTTCCTTAAATTACATCAAACTGTCATATTTTAGCTGGTGTCCTACAGTGTCATTTCATGAAATATTAGGTTAATTTTATCTGATAAAAAATGACCGCAATTGTGTCCCAGAATGTTTGCAATTTCAATTAGCTAGTAGGTCATCAAGGGCATGTACGTATAGTAGATTCACAATATTCAAAATTAGACTACCAATATTCTTGTGATGAGACAATTATAATTTTTTATGTGAAATGCTACTGCCTTAGGACAGAACTTTAATGATTTATATTATCCATTTACAACATATATACATGGCATTAGCTAACTGTAAAATACCTTAAATTAAGTCTTGTGGAAAAAAAATAACAATCTGAATTGAAGTTTGGATAGTACGAGCACTCATCCATGTATCAAGGATAAAATTTAAATTCATAATGTAAATTGATATAAAAGATTTTTACAAATCAAGGCCTTCAAGACATCACATCCTAAGCTATGAATTAATTTTAGTAAGATGGTTACCACTATAATGAAAGTTTGACAGAAGGAATATTATTATAGTCCTTCCTCAATGTCATATTGAGAAATGATGCATCTTCGAGCACCTTGCAATGAATATAATGAATTAGTTGAAATAGTAAACAGTTAAGAAAAAATTATGAATATATTGATTATTTGCTTAAATATTAAATGCAGTTTTAATCCTTCTCTTACAACTATCTAGTGTGGAATAAATAATTTCATTTTCAATGTGCAATTATATTATTAGTAATTATTTATTTTGCTGTTGTGAGATGATAAAGTCTATCAAATCGTAACTAACATTGCATAGTTAAATGTCCATAGCCCTCTGCTTAATTGTAATCTACTCCCCATGTATATTACATCAACACAATGTTCAACACAACGCTTAGTTTTCAATGTAATTCACCTTGTGCAAATCTCATCTTAAATATCTTCCTCATATATATTTCCTTTTGAAATCAATAAAATTATAAGATATCCTTATCTTTTATATTTTATTAGATAAACACACTTTATAATAAGACAAAGTAGGCTAATTATAAAACATGGACAGTGGTACTGACCGGCTCGTTGAGAGGCCTCCGTCAAGTCGGTTCTCCTACGCTCAGATGTCACGATTTCCAGATTATGTTGAATCGTACAATCCAACTCTATCAGGTACATATCAAGATGCTTTGCTGTAAAGAGATTTTTGTGTAGTACTTTGTAGTATTGGTGTATAATATAATATAGCAAACTTTATTCTGGCAAACTTCTCTCCTGTGTTAAGATAGAGTTTGAAAGCTTCATCTACTAAATACTTACAAATTTCTTAATATTTTTCTGTTGGCAAAATGTGTGAAGAAAAAGTAAAAGATGAATAATTGAAAACTCTGTATGTAATGTTTTGAAAATAGCTTATTCTAATTGGTGCCCAATATTACTACTTTTTTTTATTCATATTCCTCAATATCTGAGAGTGTTTTGATGCTTGTCGTTTGTGACATTATTGGTTGTTTTTAAAAGTTGATACTTGTATGAACTGATAAGAAAGCTTTGAAAAGGAACACAAGTGCTGTGCTTGGATTTTATGCATTGTCTGATTGATATTTTATATTAACACTGGTAACTTCTGAACAGCTCAAAACTGCTTTGTTTTAGAGTGAGATATTATGTAGCATTTTAATCTTTCTGGAAAATAACAGAACTTTTATTCTTGTGTAAGGCTTACTTTTCAATGCTTCAACAACAGCAACTAAAATGCTAGCTGAATTCCTAAAGGCTTTTCCTCTCTCAGTACATGCATGGTCTATTGCAAAATTGACAAGACCACAAAGCTAAGTAGATTTAGATGTTGATGGATGGTCTTGCTTATTGCTTGGAATTTTCAGATGCCAGCTTCAAGTTGATCTGCTTGGAGAGTCTCTAAGTGTTTACTAGAGATTTACCTTTAATCAATAATTTTCTGAAATGTTTAAAATCAAACCCTTGTATTAAAACAGTTTTTGTTCAGATTCATTTCCTGTTGTCAGGTGTAATATATGTATGTTATTTACTTGTAAATAAAAGAATCATATGGATTTGTATTATATAATTTCCATTGAAGCATCCCTTCCAAAAAGAAATATATATATGATATATAATGCTGTATATATATATACAATATTATATTTATGTAAAAGGTCATATTCAGGACATGGAAGCTACAAACATACTAATGGCTTAACTTGTTTGAATATATTGTTCAGTGTTCTTCAGTTACATTTACTAATATCGTTTATACATTTGTGTATGTATGGTACACATGAGCATTTTTTCTGTTTACTACAATGTTGACAATACATGTGTTAACAGTTTTCCTTCAACTGGTCAGTTAAATTGGAATTTTATGTAGAGCTAATTTTAACAATATTGATAGATGTTTGTATTGCAATCAATACTTCTGTGGTGAAACATCTGTTTCAGGTTACTTTCTCCTCAAGCAATTTTTATTTCAATGCCTAACATTTTCAAACAGTTGTTAAAATTTTAGTAAATCACCATTTGCAAGAAATAGGTTAAGACATGTATTGCTTATGCTATAATGACCAAAGAAGTACATTATTTTACATTTTCAACAGTATTTCAAGATATTCAGCATTATTTTATATTACTAATTTTCACTAACTCTTACTAATATTAAAATAGTTTTTCTGATAATACATGTAACATGATTATTCTTTAAGACAGGGAAGAAAAGCTGCTGTACTACATACCACTTATTACATTTTCAATGTAAAAAAAATGCTGTGATACAGTCTTCAAACAGTCTCGACAAGCATTAAATCTTAAACCTTTTATCCAATAACGCATGAATAATTTTCAGTTTCTTCAAGATCAGCCTCGGTTATTTAAAGGCTTTAGAAACTTGAAGGGGCATATATACCAATAGTAATATAAAGACCTTTCAAAAACTGAGGTATAAGTAGTTTTTGCATGTTCAATGTACCAGAGGTAAATACCCTATTTTAGTAAACCTTCACCAATATTAATATCTAAAGTTCTCTCCTTTTGTCATTGAAATTCCTACAAATAGATATAAGAAGATGTGGTATGAGTGCCAATGAGACAACTCTCCATCCAAGTCACAATTTGTAAAAGTAAACCATTATAGGTCAAAGTACGATATATTATATCCCCTCTGGGCCAGTTGCTCTATTGCAATCACCTTGTCCATCCTTTCATCCCTTTGTCTGTCTAACAAATATTTTCTTCATATTTTCTCAGATAAGAAAATTCCATTGCTTTAAGTTTTATAAAACTTATTTGATGCAAAATGGTGAACAACAACCATAATAATTCCATAACAAATCCTAAACTGACATCTAGATGCCTTTTTGGTTATACAGATGAATATGGCTTTGGGACAACTGTTTTATTGATGAATGGTCTTAGAATTTGATGAAATTTTCAACAAAAAAAAAGATTTTGTATATTTTCTATTTTAGTTGAATAAACATGTTGTAATATTTCTAAAATTTGATAATCATTAGTCTTCCACTGTAAACATTCTGAATCTGTTCATTTTTAACTTGAATCCTCTACAATCGTAATTGTCTTGCGCAATACATTGTGACTGAAATTAATGAAATGACCCTTAATTTAATGTAAATAATATTTAAATTAGAGGTTGCTCTTAGAAAGTTATATACCTAAGTTAATTTGAATTCTCTATTCTTTTATAGATATAACTTTAGATGAGACAGCACCAAATGGTATTGAAGATGAGGTTAAACCAACAGCAGACACAACAGTCAAATCTTCAGGAGGCAATGCTGATGTACAAGATAAGAGTGCCCAGGTTGGTTACAATTTAATTGTTGTGTTATTAAATTTTAAACTAAACTCTAGTATGCAAAAGCAACACATAAATGAGTAAAGTAAAACAACTAAACCAATTAAAGACTACCTGACTAGAATAGATACTAATAAATGGAGATTTGGTGTAACGTCACAATCCCCAAATTGCACAGAGTACCTAAATTGCACCTATTTAGCAAAAATAGCATCAGTAGTCTTATAAGTTTTCTTAGAGACTAAACCAAGTTGTATTTTTATGATTTGACAGTATACATGCCTTTCAACATAGGTAAATATATTCAAATATACACAAAACTTTCACAGTATATATCAACAGATGAAGTATTCAATGGAAAATGTAAAATGTACGGAAACGTCGCCATGCGAAGTCCACAAAAGTCATCTTTAAAAAATGAGCAATTAAACTATGTTACAAGCATCCATTTCTTAAAAAATGAATAGACAGCACTGACGAATGTCAAATTGTTCTAAATATTTGAAGAAATAAAACAAAACATCTGTTATTCAATTTTAAGGATGTGAATTTAAGCATGGATGCAATTTGGGTACTCCTTATTACAGAATCATGGATCGTTTGGAGGTCTGTTCAAACCCATTTTTCTATGATTTAATATGGATTCAAAATTAAATTGGTGAAACCATATAGTAAATAATGATACATCTACGAAATAAACACAGAACGGAAACCGCCACATTTTTGCGCCTGTCCCAAGTCAGGAGCCGCTGGCCTTTGTTAGTCTTGTATGTTTTTTAGTTTTAGTTCATTTATATGTTTTGGAGTTTAATGTGACGTCCATTTTCACTGAACTAGCACACAATTTTATTTAGGGGCCAGCTGAGGACCACCTTCGGGTGCAGGATTTTCTCGCTGCATTGAAGACCCATTGGTGGCCTTCGGCTGTTGTCTGCTCTTTGGTTTGGTTGTTGTCTCTTTGACATATTCCCCATTTCCATTCTCAATTTTATTTTGTCTGGATCATAAATAGACGTAGGTGAAAAAACTGTCAAAATAAGTGCAATTTGGGTACCCTCAAGTTATACATCAATGAGATAACCCAACGACACAAAAAAAAACAAATAAATCCAAAACGCAGTCTTCAATAGTAGGTAATTTGTCAACTGTCCTGATCGAGTCTTTGTAAATAATTTTAACAGCGACAATCTGCCATCATTAGTATGTAAATTACCAAAATCTGTAAATGATGATAACATTTAGATATGGCATACAACAACCAATGGTGAGGTTCCAGACCGTTCCTGACTTGGGGCAGACACATAAACACCTGTGGCTATTTTCACAAAAAATCTTAAGAGTAAAAATACTCGTAAGTCATACACATTTCAGTACAACTTAGTTTTTTTGTGAAAAGAGTCGCTGGCAGTGTTAACTTTACTATTAAAAAAATCGAAGATAAGATACATAAAATCTGCTAGACCAGATCCTTTTTCGGTCTACTTGAGACTCATCAGTGGTACTCAGAGTTCTCTAAAAGTGGTGGTCCGATGTTTTGACCACCAAAATTTTCCAAAGGACCGACACAATTTTGGAATTTTACAATAGAAATAATAGTGAGGACCAGCAGATTTTCTTCAAGGACCACCTGAGGGATTTTTTTTCAAGAACTCTGGCATACTTAAATCAAAACAGTTGGAAGGCCTTATCTAATACAAAGTTGAAGTGCATTGAAAACCAAAATTTTTTTAAAGTGGTGTTGATTGCGGCTAATGCAGTCTATGTACAATGCAAGGGGAGTTAAAAACCTTAGCGTTTCAAATAATTCATGAACTACATTATTATATCTAAGAACTGCATTTGATCAGGTCAAAGAATTGAAGAACATCCTTAAAAAAAATAATTTAAAATCTGAACCTTTTGTCAAACTCAAAGTTGCCGAAATGCTTTTGAAAAGAAAACTTTAAGATAATGACCCTAGTACAATTTAAAAAATGTCTGTCTTCAAAAGCAAGAGATAAAAATAGATAGAGAAGGTATCAAGGGGACAATAATTTTTCTAAAACACGATAAAATGAAAAGATGAAAAAAATAATAAAAAAATACCCAGAAAGGATTGAGCAACATGACCCCCCGCCTAGGGTGTGAAGTTGAACTCAGGTGCTCCGGAAGAATGAGAAGGTCCTGCTCCACCAGTAGCACCCTTCGTGTAACTCATTGTAAGTAAACATATGGAGATATGGTACCAGCTTTTGTAAGAGACATTTCAGCGTGTGCACTCTTGTGTAAGAGAATGACAGATAAATAAAGAAACAAGCAAAATTAGAAGATAACTCAATATCTACAAATTTCATATAATTTGGAATTAACCAGAATCATGACTTAAAAGTATCTGAATGTTTTGATGCTTTTGTTAAAGCTGTAGAAATAAACAACATGGCTTCTGTATATAAAATAGCATGTACAGTATTTGTTAATGATTTATGGAAAACAAATTTACTTGATTAAATTTTTCTGTTTTTTTTTTCAGTGACATTAAGTATTTTGTATATAATTTTTTAAATATTACTCATTCTTTATCCTGTGCTTCCAAGATACCAAAAATATGTAAAAATAATGGCCCACCAAAATTAATTTATTGAATGTTTTGAAACAGGGATCTATTTAGGGGTTAATGGACAACGACAAACATAATATATTTTTTAGTCCCCTACCGACAAAGTCGAAGGGGACTTTAGGTTTGCACTCCGTCCGTCTGTCCATCTGTCCGTCTGTCCATCCGTCAGTCCAGGAAATCAGCTTTCCACACTTTTTTTCTTCGTTCTTGAAGATATTGATTTGATATTTGGTATATAGTTTTATCATGACAAGTTATAGATCAAGTTTGAATTTTGTTCCGGTCTGATGAACTCTGGACCATATCTAATGTTAAGAGTACTATGTTAAACCATATTTCTGTACAAAGGGAGATAACTCATTTTTTAAAAGACATTCTTTGTTAAATTATTTGAAGAATTTTTTGGCAGGTTTGTTTGTTATTTAGTATAAACTAATTTTCTGAATGATATATATTTAAAAAAAAATTATGAAGAGAAATCCTTTAATTAGATAATAATCTATTTTTATTAATGTATATATTTCAATACATTACATTGTGTAGATAAAAGTTGTTGACATTTTATAGATAAGTTACAAATCTATATTAGTTTGTGACAAATGAAAGAAAAAATATTTGGAACTATTAATTATATTTGATTATAATTTGAAAATAGATGTAAACTGTATTACATCATATCTAATTTTAGAGAACTATTAATCATATCTAATGTTTTTTTCACTCATATAATCAGTTTTCCACACTGTTTTTAGTCATACTTGAAGATATTGACATGATATTTACTTTTTTGTTTACACCATGACCAGTTATAGAACAAGTTAGCATTTTGTTCCCGGTAGGGGACTATGTATTGCCATGCAATACTCTCAGAATGCTTGTTTCATTTATTTATTTTGTTTGTTTGTGTTTTGTTGACAGCCAGTTTGCCTCTTTTGTTTTGTATTGGCATTCTGTTATTTACAACTTTTTAGGGCATCAATTTGTTTTTTGTTAAAGACAATGAATACTTCTTAATTAGAAGTATCACTTGTCACATTTTCATAGGAAAGAGGAATGTGTGCTTTGAATGCCTTTGTTTTATCTCTGGCAGGGACAAAAACAGAAAGGGGAACAGGTAAAATGTGTGTGGCATAATTCAGTGCATTATGGTCAAGTTTCATTTTCCTGCTACCAAAATAATTAAATGTTTTGAGTAACATAATGTCTCAGATTTTTTTTTGTAGGTTTTGCTTTGAATTTTGAACGTCTATTTTATTTATTGCGTTAACATGAAAAGAAAAAGATACTTTTATTAACCGGATTTTCGAAGTAAAAATCAGTTATTGATTTTTTTGTGTGTTAAATTTATCAAATTTTATTAGTAGGATGTTATTATAAATGTCATAAAAGTTTTTGACCTCCTGAAATTGCAGTAAGGTCACTGTCTTTTCCAGTATTTATTATCATTGATTTTGAAATAAAATGTAGCTAGTTCTGCCAGTTTATCATGTTTATGTATTATCTTCATTCTTCATGCAGTGAAATAAATATGAAATTCATTTTCCATAATTTATTTTAGCTAGTATTTCATTTTGTTTGAATATTACAAAAAAATAAAATTGTATTTTGTTCCTTTAGTCCAAAATAATATGCTAGTGAGTATAAACCTGTGATTGCGCAATCCTCAGCAATGAAACTCACACTTGAATAAATTATTCTTATATTACAAATGCAATAAGCAAGAGCAAAAATTAAACCAAACTTTTGACAATAGAATTGACTGTGTATTCATTATTATTGTGGGGTACCAATTTTTTCATGGATACAGATAAACCATGAATTTAGATGATCAACGAAGTACAAATTTTCTATACGCTAGTATGCTGACTTTGGCAACCCACAACATTCAAAATTATGAAAATGTTCTTCAATCCACATTATTTGGTACCCACAAAAATAGATGAACTCACAGTATCAATTTATTAGGCTTCTATCAGGAAATGAAACTTGTATGATTGATATTGTTCCTTGTTTTAACATAAACTGTATACTAATAAGATGTCTTGCTAAAATTTGATCTGCACTTATTATATATCAAGAAAAGAGAATGGTCACTGTGGGTTGGAAACAGTTCTGTATATTTAATCAGCCCCTGTATTTGTTCTGTCTATCTGTGTACTAACACATATGTCCTAGAAAGGTTGTGCTTAAGTGAGTAGGAATGGTCACAGTGGGTTGGGAACAGTTCTGTAAATTAAATGAACTCCTGCATCTGTTCTGCCTATCTGTGTACTAACACACATGGCCTTGAAAGGTTGTGCTTAAGTGAGTAGGAATGGTCACAGTGGGTTGGGAACAGTTCTGTAAATTAAATGAACTCCTGCATCTGTTCTGCCTATCTGTGTACTAACACACATGGCCTAGAAAGTGTGTGCTTAAGTGAGAAGGGAATACAAATCTGTACTGCTGGTTATTAAAAATATTATTGCGAACCAAATGAAACTTTTCCACAGAGTCAGCTCCTATTAGTCAATCTTTTAAAAACTTTTGTCAGATCTATTGTCCCATTGTCATTGAATAAATACAATAGCTATTGTTCTCTGTGTAGTTTATTCATTTTTAGCATTGTTTCTATTGAAATTTTGTATTTTTTTTGTTTTTCATCAGTTTTAGAATACATTTAAAAAGGCCTTAATTTAAACATCATCATTTTCCAGTTTTTATTTGTCAAACATACGAAGAAGAAAAAAATTTCAATAGGAACAATGTTGAAAATTTTGTCAGAAATCAACTTTTTATGATTGAATTAGTCTTTATATTGAACAGATTGAAAATGTATTATTGATATTGAAAAAATACAACATCATGAACATCACATGCAGTTTTGTGAGTTGAAACACGTATTTTCATTTATTTAGAAGATAATTTTATTACTCAGGTAAATTAAATCTATGAGAGATGGATTTCTCTTAGAAGAAATTTAAGGGATCCAGTGAATAAACTACACAGAGAACAAACAATAGCTATTGTATTTACTCAATGGGACAGTAGAACTGACAAAAGTTTAAATAGATTGACCAATAGGAGATGACTCTGTGGAAAAGTTTCATTTGGTTTGTAATAAATTGATAAAAACATGCTAGAAAATTGGTTAACTTATCTATGATTTTGGTTGTATTTGTATAAATGTAAAACAATTATCTTTATAATGTTAAAATTTAATTTACTCTTTTCAGTTCTATTTAAATTTCATACTGGAACCTATTATTAATATGTAAATGGTGAATACTGATAGTAATAATCAAATTTTGATATCTGAACTTGAATGAAATGTGAATCGCATGTTTTCGTTAGATATAAGTTTGAATTTGATAATCCAGATTGCATCAAATTTTAATTTCAAAATTTGAATAAAATGTTTTTTATTGTTTATGTTAGATATTATATCGAATTTGATGATCCCGATTGCATGCACAGCAGGTGTAATAAAATTATTTTGAAAAATATTTGTCAGAAAGATAATGTAATATAAGCATCAAGTGTTTTTATGTCATGTTTTACTAAAACTTAGCATGTCAGTCATAAAATTCATGCTGGAACTGCTCTGCTTGCATCATTGCTGCATGCTGGTATATTAAATAGAAAACAATGTACCAAAAAAAAATGTCTCAGAGAAAGTGGGTCAAATAAAAGATTATACTGTGTATTCATTATTATTTGTTAACTACCAATTTTCATGGAGTTGGTGGAAATGTGGGAATGATGAATTTAAATGTTCATCAGATTACAAATTTTTTATAGATATGTATGCAGACTTTAGCAACACCACGAAATCAATTATATGTACTAAAGTGCAAGTTTTTATGAAAATTAGAACTTAAGAGAATAAATGAATCAACAGTACTGGTATATAGCAATTTGGTGTGAAAGGTTATAAGAAGGGACTAAACAAAGATATAATACAAATGACATATGTCCAACAAAAACTTTAAGACACACACACATGAAAATCTATAGGTCACTGTGAGGTCTTTAAGGATAAGCAAGACTCATATCTCAAAGGTAAATTTTGACATTGCCTAAAAGTATAATGTGCAAGTTATAAAAGAAACTAATATTACTCATTACAAATACTGTAAACCAACTAATTTTCACGAGCGCTTTATTTTCGCAATTTTCGGGAGTAGAAAAATAACGCGAATATAAATCGTCGTGAATATGTAAAACTTGGATCTTTCCTTATTAAACTACATCAAGTTAATTAGAAAATCGCAAAATTAAATAGCAGCCAAGTGGACTAGAATGTGGTAAACGTGAAATAAAGTATCCACGAAAATAAGTTGGTTTACAGTATATATGAATTAAGAACATTGAAGGAGAAACAGATGTTATAAGAAGACATCTATAATCACTGGGCTTAGGACAGACATGCCAATATGTGGATGTTTATAAGCCCTCAAGCCACATTCTCCTTTTTGTACTGGAAAAAAAGTGAAAAGTTAGCTAGCAAAATAAATGAGAAATGGTATTTGAAAAAAGATCTTATTATTGCGATCCAAATGAAAGTTTTCCACAGAGTCATCTCCTCATGGTCAAGATATTTAAACTTTTGTCTGTTCACTTGTCCCATCGAATAAATACAATAACTATTGTTCTCTGTGTACTTTATTCACTGGGACCTTTAAATTGTTTCTAAGAGAAATCGATCACTCATTGATTAATTTACCGTAGTAAAAAATTATCTTCTAAGTTGAAGAAAATACATGTATTATTACTTAAAGAAATGCATGTGATGTTGTATTTATTTAATATAATTAATATATTTTTAATCTGTTCAATGTAAACACTGATTCAAATATAAAAAGTTTATTTCTGGTAAAATTTCAACATTGTTCCCAATGAAATTGGCCTTTTTGTTTGTTTGACAAAAAAAAAACTGGAAAATGACGAAGTTTAAATTAAGGCCTCCTTAAATGTACTCCATAACTAAACAAACACAAAAAAAAAATGCAAATTTCAATAGGAACAATGATAAAATTTTTGTCAGATATCAAATTTTTATGATTAAATCAGTGTTATATTGAACAGATTGAAAATATATTATTTATTTTGAATAAATACAACATCACATGCAGTTCTGTGAGTAATAATACATGTATTTTCATCAACTTAGAAGATGATTTTTTTACTGAGGTAAATTAAATTCCAAATAAATCATGTAAATCGAAACCTGTTGAAGATTGATTAGAATTTTTTTGAACAATAGATGACTTAGGGTTCACACGAGAGAACGGAAGTTCGTAACTACCAAAGGTCATTCTTTAGAGAATGAATGATCTGAATTGTAGAGTAGGGAGGGAGCTGGCCCAACAGTGTTAATTGTAAACTTATAAAAATCCTCAGACACTTTTAGGGGCCTTGGGGGCCAAGTGGTCTAAGTAGTTCAACTATTGTATTACTAGTCTGTCAACACTGAGGTTGTGAGTTTGAACCCCATCTGTAGCAGGTGCGTTTGACTCCAATCCTTATTGACTTGGATTGTTTGTTTTCCTGCCAAAGTCTGTGGTTCTCTCCGGGCACTCCAGCTTCCTGCACTAATAAAAACTGGCCGCCCCAGGATAGCCATTGGCATTAAACACCTAAAGTCAATCATCAGATGCTTACTCAAGGTTTTCCACCAATAATTCCCAGCAATTATAAAGCTTCTATATATTATGCTTTGCTGAATTGTAAATACATGTACATGCTTGTGATAATATATATTAATTTGTCAAACATGATGAGAAGATATGTGCACGTGTCATTCTTGAATTATAGGGACAATACAAAATGAGGATTTGTTCTGATGAGAATCATAGTTTGGTACAGAACAATCAAATATTTCCCAATTAGTTTATCTAAATACATTTGAAAATAAAAATATTTTAACACTAATTTCAGGGCAGAAATATGTTCTTCAAGGATGGCAAAAAAAGGATAGACTATGTCTTGGCTTGGGAATCAAAGGAAGATGACCAGAAACATAACCACAGAAACAAAAAGGCTAGGGAAATCTTTGAGACACATCTGAAAGAGGAAGGTCTACAGTTAGAAGAAGATCTGGTTTGTATAGATTCAACACTACTCTGCTATCTTCCCCCAAAGTGGGTACCAGATACTTGCATTAATTATTTGTTAACCATCATATTAACTATGCATTTAGGATGTGTATTGGCTTGGCATTTTAAGTATAAAAAAATGTGTGCTACAATATATATAAGGTGATGTGGTATGATTGCCAATAAGACAACTATCCACCAGAGTTTAGATGATGTAATCAATTATAAGTCACAGTCTGCCTTCAACAATGAGCAAAACTTATACTGTATGCAAGTTACAGACTTTTTTTTTACAAAGGGAAATAACACTTGGGATAGGATAAACTGTTTCCACAACTACCGATGCATTGAAATTGGAGTTTTGTGTGACGTCCATTTTCACTGAACTAATACACAATTTTATTTAGGGGCCAGCTGATGACCACCTCCGGGTGTGGGATTTTCTCACTTCGTTGAAGACCCATTGGTGGTCTTCGGCTGTTGTCTGCTCTTTGGTCGGGTTGTTGTCTCTTTGACATATTCCCCCTTTCCATTCTCAATTTTATATAACATGATGAAGTATCAGAAACAAGAAGTTACAGATTGCAAAAGAACAATCAGGTTTATGTTACAAAGATAAATTTCTCTTGACTTCCTCCGAATTTATCTTAATCGAAAAAAGACTTAAGAAAAGTATGTAGACATACATTATACACACCCCTTTCTCAAAAAACTACTTCAGTGTAAAATCAATATATATACACAACTGAATTTGATAGGCCCCCTCCAAACAAAAATCCTAGATCTATCCCTGTTTATATATATAATTTACAAACATACTAACTATTACATAATTCAGTGAATCAATTTATTAGTAAATTATGTAATTTCTTTTTTATGAACTATCTCATTTTCATTATATATGTTCATTTCAGACTGTTTCTAAAGAGGAAGAAGCAGATTTTGTAAAAGTTCATGCTCCATATGAAGTACTAACAAGATACGCTGAGATTCTAAAACTGAAAATGCCTGTTAAGAAGGTATTTATATGTTTTTTTAAAGAGTATGAAAATTAACAAATATTGTCAATTCAACAATAAAAAAAATCTGATTATTTCAAAATTTGATGCATTACATTAAAGTGAGAAATCTTAACTCTATAAACAATACTATATGAAAAGTAGAAGATGTTGTATGATTGCCAATGAAACAAATCTTCACCAGAGACCAAATAATGTAGAAGTTAGCCTTCAATAATGAGCAAAACCCATACCGCATAGCAAGCTATAAAAGGCCATGAAATGACAAATGTAAAACAATTCAAACCGGAAAACTAACAGCCTTATGTTCAAAGCAATAAATGAAAAACAGTATGATATACAGTAACAAACGACAACTACTGAGCCACAGGCTCCTGACTTGTGACAGGCACTTACAGAACTTGGTTATGCTCAGTGCAGCCAATACCATTCAGTTTCACCATATGGGCAATACCATTCAGTTTCACCATATGGGATTTGAAAGAAAATTCACACTGATTTAGCATTTGAGTATCTTTCTCTGAGAGAATTGTTCTTCTTTTTATCGTTCAGTTTGTTGAAGGTTCCACTTCTTTACAAATAATTTATTTCATTAACAAAATGTGTATGATTTGCCAACAGTCATTCAAGAATATGCAGTCATATCAGGTTTGTCACACACATGCAAATCAGTTGAGAAACAGATTTCTGCAAAATACTGATATAGATATATATTTTTGTCACATACATGTATCAGCTTTTTCAATAGATATAATGAAATGGACAATTATGATTCAGTATAGTCACATGAGTTGCTTTCAGAGCATTTTGATGATGTGTTGCTTAATAGTCTTCACATTTTGTGGATCCATTTTTTTTCATGGAATATTAATTTTAGTGGATTGGCTATCCGGGAATATTAAGTACTCAACATGATAATATGAAAAAGTACCCTTAAACTTACAAGTTATTTTTTTAAACGGTGAAAAATTGCCTCCATGAAAAGAAGTGAAACCACAGTTTATGTTAAAGTTATGTAGTACTGTATCAGAAAAAAAAAAGAATCAATTGTCCACATAACAGCATTTATGCATACATGTATCTGCCAATGAGTAACTAATTGCAGAAATCTTTATATATGCACACAATTAACAATTTTCATTTTTAATCTAACATGCAAAGCTGGGAAATTTTCAGGTTGGTTGGAAGATTTCTGTTGTCTTAGATTTTAATTAAAATCATTAATCATCACAAGTAATCAGCTTAATTGACTTAATTGAAATATGCCAAATTTAACTAAAAATAAAGTAATGATTGTTAATTAATTGAAATTTTTGTTCTGTCGATTGGCATGTATTTCTACATTCAGATAAGCTGATTATATTACATTATCATTCCATATATAGATGGCCGTTTTAGGTTTAAGGAGGTTTTAATTTTATGCTTGGCTTACTAAATTTGTAGCTTTTAAATAGAACAGAAAGAAATATACAAAACATTAAATGATGTAAATTGTCATATTCTTTGGAAAATATATAACTCTGTCATCTGTATATCAATAACATTTGTTTGTTTACCTAAGAATACTTTTCATTTTATATTTGTTTTAAATGATCAAACTGGCATATTTCATAGCCATTGCATTACACAGCTGCTACACCTTCAAAGTTGGGTGCTAAAGAAATGCAAATATGGAAAGTGAACAGACTTTAAAATTAATGATAAATTAAAAGGAACTAACATGTTTTCATAAATTTAGGCAAGCAAACAAACAAATGCTCATTTTAGTTGGTCAGCATTGCTTTTTCCCAGTACGTCAATTATGTTAAATTTACTTCTAATTTGAAATAAAAAATGTACTTAAACATGTTAAGGAAAACTTTTTATAAACACGACTTCATAGTCAGTTTTGGTTCCTTTGGACAAAAATAAAGTCAAGATTCAGAAAATATTTTCTCCTTGTTAAAACTTGTTCTAAAGTTTGTAGTACTTTGTCAAAGAGCAGTGCTGTACATTTTTGTTGTATTATTCACATTACACTATTCAAGGGATTATGGATATATTTTTTTTATGTTTTAACTAATTTATCGACAGAACTTGGTACTCGACAAAATACAGATGAAGTATGCACAGCTGGAGGTATAGAGTAGTGTGCTGTTGATGTGTAAAATGTTGGGGCAAGGTGGAAAAAGTGGCATGAAAATAGAATTATAAGCATCAGTCTCTTAAAGGATCATTTAGGGGTTTAATTATAGATATTTTTAAACAAGTTGTGATAACAGTGGTGGTTACAGATTGTTACTTGGTGAACTGATAATCATTTATAATCTATTTGGAAATAAATCTGATAAATTTTTGAATTGCAGCATTCAAATCTTATACTGTAAATTCTGAAATTATTGCCAGGGTTTTATTAAAGCGACTGGGAGAGTATCACAATAATAAGAAGTCGCATTCTGACATCTGATCATATATTTGTATGCAAATTTTACTGAAATCGCAATAATTTATCTCCCTTTTTTGTACATTCTTAAAAAATCACTATAATATTATATGCAAGCAATAATTTCTGAATTTACAGTATTTGAAAACTGTCGAGTATAAAACAATGATTAACTTTAGAATATTTGTTCTCCAACATCACACAGCATTGAGGTAGAATATAAAGACATGAGTTTTGTAATTTACTAGAAGTTCACCAGATAACAAATTGAAACCCCTTTTAACACATGTAGTAGATGATCATTAAAAAAGGTAGAAGATATAAGCTCTCTATTTGAGTAATGAAATTTAAAATGAAACATTCATGAGGCTTGCAGAATTATAAGTCTAGTCTTGTATTTATTCATTAATCTTACCCATTGTGTTTGACCCGATTTGGAGTGGCTTTAATGTATGTATCTTTATGGATATTTTATTCAGGCAGGTCAAACAGTAAGTGATAGTGATTTCTAATCGTCTGAGTTATTTAAATCTCCTTACAAATGAAGTGAACATGTGTGAAAATAATAGCTAATATTTGCCTGTGATATTTCTAATATCAGGTGATTTTTGGCCCTTCTACATATAGGATTATAGTGAGTACTACACTGAAACTGAACTGGTTCACAAAAAACAATATTTACCATTCACTGAACCCTTGTCATTTAATCCATTAATTTCTAAAAGTTTTGTTTCTGAAAGTTATATAATGATAAGTTTAGTAAATAAATTTCTAAACTCTTAACCGAAAAATAATTTCCCAATATGTCTGATTAATTTTGTTATAATTAACGTGGGGTTTGTTATTCTCATTTTTTCATTGGTCAAAATTTGTTTATGACGTCAAATTTTTGTGCTTTCCTCTGATTTTGCTGCTGTGATGTCATGAAATAGGCAACCATGCCTGATGTCACATAGAAAAAACCTCAATCTTTTTGAAGATCATTGAAAAAGACAAAAATAGTTTGGAGAAACAGATCCAAGCATCTTATCTTGTGCGATATGATATCTCTCCTCTTTAGACAGTTAACTTTTTATACGACCGCAAAAAAATTTGCGGTCGTATATTGGTATCGTCGTCGATCGTCGTCGTCGTCGTCGTCCGAAGACATTTGGTTTCCAGACAATAACTTTAGTAAATGTAAATAGAAATCTATGAAATTTAAACAAGGTTTATAACCACAAAAGGAAGGTTGGGATTGATTTATAGTCCTAACAGTTTAGGAATTAGGGGCCAAAAAGGGGCCCAAATAAGCATTTTTCTAGTTTCCAGACAATAACTTGTGGAACGTGTATGGATCTCTCTGAAATTATACCTCAAGTTTTCATATCACAAAGGAATGGTTAGGATTGGCTTTGGGGGGTTATGGCTCAAACCGTTTAGGAATTAGGGGCAAAAAACAAGGGTTTCCTGGGTTATGGACAATTTAAAAGCAGTGTAAGGGAGGTAATCCAAACACATTTAAAGTACAATGTTGTGTATGTTTGGATTTACCTCCCTTACACTTCTTTTAAATTATGGATAAAGTAATGTTGTATTGTCTTGAGGTGATTAGCTGTCAATTTAGTTTTAGAAGTTACTATTAAAGGAATATTGATTTTAGTCATGACTATGTATGTTATTTTCTATTTTAAGACTTTTATGATGTATTTTAATTGGTAATTATGGTTGCAAACTCCATTGGAAATTTGAATTGAGATTATGATCATATCTTGAGGGAAAGAATTTTTTTTTTGGAAAAGGGGGGGGGGGGGGGGGGGGGGGGTAAAAAGAAATTGTGTGGGGGGGATCTTTTCTTATTTCAGATTTCAGAAATTAAAAAGAAAATTTCTTCAAATATTTCTTTTTTTTTGGGGGGGGGGGGGGTCAATTCCCAACAACATAGTGTATTGCACAAAAGCAAAAAAATGAATATAAATTCAAATCATATAACCAATTCTAAGTACTTTGACTACAGTTATTCTGTGTCAGAAACCTATTATGTGTCAAATATTTAATTACAATCCAAATTCAGACCTGTATCAAGTGCGAATATTGTGTCCATTTTTGCCCCAACTGTTCAGGGTTGGACCTCTGCGGTCTTATCCAGCTGTGCTCAGCGAAGCATTTTATTAATATTAAAAAATGCTTAGCAATCCTTGCATTTTAAATTTGAAAATTTGACTGTCTCGAGAGAAGAAATTTTGTATCACACTGGATGCATTGGTAGAAACTATAAATTTTTAGCATATAGTTTCATTCACTTTGACTAAAATTATTGCTAAAGTTAAAAAAAAATGTATATTATATTTGTCTTTTCAGTTAATTTTCACTAAGTTGAAGTAAAATGACTTTAAAAAGAAAAAAAAAACATGTTTGAAGATAACTTTGAAGTATATTACATAGACCCATGTCACATTATTTTTTATTAGTTATCACACCAGTCCTGATTGTAATTATGTTTCCAATCACTTTTAACCCAAATTACACCATTTCACAAACATTGCAGTAACTATGGTAGGGTCCAATAGTGTGTCATTATATTTATTGTTTAAGCATAGTAAAGTTTTTCAGAAATAGGTGTCAGGTACTCCTGTTAAGTTTTGTATCATAATATTATGTAAAAGGGTTTTCTTTTTCTTTTAACATTTACATGTTTTTGTTCTTTTAGTCCCTCAAAATGCAGGTGAGGTTCCCGTGATTTCTGAGTCTTTTCCTTCCGTGTTCAATTATGTGTAATATTTATTTTAACATTTCACAAACTTTTACGGTATCTTATGTTGGTATACATTGTATAGTTAGTTGTCCTATGTTTTTAACATACTGACAAGAGAGTATTTTTTGCCAAGAATTAATTCTTGCCCATCATCCTTAAATACCTTCGTTTGAGACGTCACATTTGTACTGACTCTCGACAGGATAGTGTCCATGGATAATATAATTTCAGAAATTATTGTGTGCATTTATTATTGCAATTTTTGAAGACTTGACAAAAATGCGAAATTAATTATTGCAATGTCAGGAAAATCTCCATACTGATATATGTATAAGATATCAGAATGCAAGTTCTTATTATTGGGATACTTACCTAGTTGCATTATTGGCATTCATAAAAACCTGGCATTAATTTCTGAATTTACAGTATTCATAATTATTGAAAGATCTTATGGTTAAACTTTGCACATACTTATTAATTATCCTAATGCATCAGTGTGGTGCAAGGCAAGAATTGTTACTTGATAAAAACTATTCTCTCACCAGTAGACATTTTACTATAGTTTTTCATTTTGTCAATTTATAAATCTATATGCCATGAATATTCATTTGATGAATGAAAATTCCTAACATATAGGCAAAAAATTAAATTGACAAATTAATGGAGTTCTTATACGTTGTACCTCATTCCACATTTTCCCTTTCTTCTGATACAGTTTGTTGGTTTAATGTTGTTAATACTGTTATAAAAGCACTTTCTGAAACTTTGGATTTTAATCGATATGCACATTGTAATAATTCCTATTTTCTTACTTTTCTGTTGTAAAGATCCCAAAAAATTAAATCAAAGGCCATCCCTTTAAAAGGGGGTTTGTTCAAATATAAAATCTGTACTTGGAGAAATGAAAATTTGTCTCTTGATTCAATTATATACAATTATCAATAAAGGATTTATTATAATATAATTGAATGAATTGTTGTGAACTTTTTACATAACATTTTTTTTTCCATGATGTCAATTTTGAGAAATTTTCAGATTTGTCCCTCCAGAGTACTGGAACTAAATCCTTGAAATTTCGAGAATTTTGAACATGTCTAGTGATAAAATGATTTTGTCGTGTATAATCCTTCTGAAACTTTTACACAATGTTTTGTTCTAGTAAGACCAGGCAGTGCCCTACAGATTTTGCAATTTTCTTTCATTTAATTCAATGATATTTTGATAATCTTACAACCAGTAAAAGCTACCAGCCCTTTCAGTTTTTGAATATTTCCAGATTTGTTGTTCTGGAGTTTTTGAACTTTAGTGGTGGAATAGAGTGGACAGGGTTAGGGTGTCTGAGCTGTTGATAATTCTTTTCAAGAGTGACTTCACAAATTAGATATTTCTAATATATGTGTGCTTCTACCTATATACTAACAACAGCCTTAATGTGTGTAATATTTTAAAAGATCATTTAAATTTTTTTATTCTGGCATATATATGAAAGGAATTCACTATAAATTGTTAAAAAGACAAACAATGAATATTCAGTTTCTTTGTTTTGTTTAATCCAGAATTGTAATGCCCATGTCCTAGAATTTAACAAGAAATATAAAAGAAATAGAGACAAAAGATATAAATAAAATATAATTAAAGCAATTTAAGATTGATTAAACTTGATGGGATTGTCAAAAGTAACCTTGCCAACAGCAAGCAAAATAATTTGTTTTGCTATCATACTGATGACTTTAAACAGTCATTTAAAAAAATGATAAGTCAAACGTTGTCAAATGCTACTAAATCTCACGTTTTTATGACAAATGTCAAAGATTTTTTGTCGAGCCTGTGACTTTTGTCGCAGAAATTCCGACATAGGGATAGTGATCCGGCGGCGGCGGCTACGGCGGCGGCTACGGCGGCGGCTACGGCGGCGGCGGCGTTAGCTAACTTCTTAAAAGCTTTATATTTTAGAAGGTGGAAGGTCTGGATGCTTCATACTTTGTATATGGATGCCTCATGTTACGAAGTTTCCGTCAGTCACATGTCCAATGTCCTTGACCTCATTTTCATGGTTCAGTGACTACTTGAAAAAAAAGTTAAGATTTTTTGTAATGTTAGATTCTCTCTTATTATAAGTAATAGGATAACTATATTTGGTATGTGCGTACCTTGCAAGGTCCTCATGCCCGTCAGACAGTTTTCACTTGACCTCGACCTCATTTCATGGATCAGTGAACAAGGTTAAGTTTTGGTGGTCAAGTCCATATCTCAGATACTATAAGCAATAGGTCTAGTATATTCGGTGTATGGAAGGACTGTAAGGTGTACATGTCCAACTGGCAGGTGTCATCTGACCTTGACCTCATTTTCATGGTTCAGTGGTTATAGTTAAGTTTTTGTGTTTTGGTCTGTTTTTCTTATACTGTATGCCATAGGTCTACTATATTTGGTGTATGGAATGATTGTAAGGTGTACATGTCTAGCGGGCAGGTGTCATCTTACCTTGACCTCAGTTTCAAGGTTCAGTGGTCAAAGTTAAGTTTTTGAGTTTTGGTCTTTTTTTCTAATACTATATGCAATAGTTCAACTATATTTGGTATGTGCGTACCTTGCAAGGTCCTCATGCCCGTCAGACAGTTTTCACTTGACCTTGACCTCATTTCATGGATCAGTGAACAAGGTTAAGTTTTGGTGGTCAAGTCCATATCTCAGATACTATAGGCAATAGGTCTAGTATATTTGGTGTATGGAAGGACTGTAAGGTGTACATGTCCAACTGGCAGGTGTCATCTGACCTTGACCTCATTTTCATGGTTCAGTGGTTATAGTTAAGTTTTTGTGTTTTGGTCTGTTTTTCTTATACTGTATGCCATAGGTCTACTATATTTGGTGTATGGAATGATTGTAAGGTGTACATGTCTAGCGGGCAGGTGTCATCTGACCTTGACCTCATTTTCATGGTTCAGTGGTCAAAGTTAAGTTTTTTGAGTTTTGTTCTTTTTTTCTAATACTATATGCAATAGTTCAACTATATTTGGTGTATGGAAATATTTTATGATCTATTTGGCAGTCACGCAGGTTTTATTTGACCTTGACCTCATTTTCAAGGTTCATTGCTCAGTGTTAAGTTTTTGTGTTTTGGTCTGTTTTTCTTAAACTATAAGCAATAGGTCAACTATATTTGTTGTATGGAAGAATTGATAGCTGTACATGCCTGCCTAGCATGGTTCATCTGACCTTGACCTCATTTTCATGGTTCATTGGTCAATGATAAGGTTACTTGGTTAATGTTAAGTTTATGTGACAGTTGTAATAAAGCTTTATATTTAGGACTATCAACATAATATCAATGATTAGTAAAGAAGGCGAGACATTTCAGCGTGTGCACTCTTGTTTATATATTGATGAGATTGTAATGACCATCCCTTGTGTATATTTAATTTATTTTTTCTATAGAATCGCATTGTTGAGATGACAGAAAATCCCTGTGCCTGGTGTTTGGTAAATTAAGTCAGAATGTCTGAGTGTGTCCCCATCTTTATTCAGATTTGAGGTTTTCATTGGGTTGTTTTTCATTGTGAATGCATGAAATTTGTCTGCATTTCAGGCTTGGTGTATTAATCAGTAAGTTATAGTTGAGTGAAAAGTTCAATCTGGTTGAAATACAGATCATATGTGCATGCTACACTTACAAGGATTTCACAATGCTTAATTATACTTTCTGTTTTTAAAAAGAAAGACCTTTTGGGGTTCTCTGGTTTTGTCTATATGATACACACCTTCAAAAATTTGTAGACAGGAATTTCATTGGCTGATGTAATAATAATGAGAACAGAAAGTAGAACAGATGTTGTCAGATCCTTGTAGGCAAAGCCTGAACACAGGATCTGTCTTGTAATCACATTGGCAAAAAGTTCTGCTTAACAGGCTTGGCTCAATTGAATATGATTTCTCTGTTTTTAAAAGTGTAATCATAACACAAACAAATGTTCTTTTGTTAATTAAATATTATTTCTATATTCTGCCTGATATAAAGATAGAATATAGAAAAAAAAACTTTAATTAACCATGTCTGTCAAAGATGTTTTCCAAGTCCCACTCCTAATGTCGTCTTAGTGGACCCCCTTTTTCAAAATCCTGGATACACATCTGGATCCTGTCTGTTTTCTGAAAATAGGGCACTGGGCTCATTTTAAATTCTAACATTTCATTAAGATTAAGTGTTTTTATACCAAGTTATTTTTCCCACTAGTGGAATTTTATGCTGATGAATTTGAAACATGAAAACTTGTAACAGGTTTATTCCCTAGTGGACAACATTTGTATCATTCTGACATGTTTGATTGAAAATCAATCAATTCAGTTGAAAAAGTATGTAAATCAGAAGACCAAGTGAGGTCATGCTTACATCCTACCAGGTTCATATGGCCCGCTAATTAAATGCAATTACAGCTTTTAGTGTTTTGCTGTTTGAGTCTTTTACCCTTAAATGTTTAACCAAATATTGCTTTGGTAAATAATGTCACCTGTTTAATGTGAATTCAAATTAAAGTTGTGCATGGAATTTTTCTTTTGTTAGTTTTAATAAAAAAAAAAATTATAAGGTAGGAGATGCTTGTGTTAATTTATTGTCAGGTCACACTTCTTAAAAAAAATATACTTCTAAGATATAATATATGTTAATACTGCTTATGTTAAATAGTTTTACTGTAAAATATTGTAGGTCATTTTGTCTTGCTGTGGATTAGTACAGTTGACTTTCATATATTAATTGATTGTATTTTGACATAATTGTATTGTATTAAATTAACATGTGTTTACTATTTACAATTTTAAAAGTTAACAGTATATTTTAAAGATAGTAAAGTTTTTTTTTTCTTTTTATCATCTTTAAGTACTAAATATGGAGGAATAAGAGAAGCATAAATATTTTTTCAATTTGGAATATTTTGTTTTTAAACATAACTAATCTATATTTACTTATTTTTGATAATGATAATAAAACACTATTAAGAAAATATTTTACAACAATATTTATTTTTCCAGAATCCCATGAAATCGGTGTCCACAAAGTTATGGACCAAAGTAAGAGGGATTGCTAATAGAATTTATACACCATTCCAACTGAATGAAGATCAGGTGCCACATGTCAAAAGGAGGTTTACCTTGGTATACAGCAGAGACAAAGAATACTTGTGAGTATGAATAAATAAGAAGACATCAAAAAGGGGGATGAAAAACTATGTTGAATAATTCAGTCCCTCCCCGTGATCATGGAAGTAATATTGAAAGGAATAACAACGTCGTCACTTCAAAGGTTTCATCTGCGTTACCGTCCATCTTTCGATAACTCGTTAATTGGTTTAATATCTGGCATGGAAGTTGATTCTCCGCATGTGATCGATCAAATCACTGACACTTTTCGGTCATTTTCGTGTTCACGGAAAACTACGAACAGACAAGTTTTTGTCGTATATACATGCGAAGTAATCCGAATAGTCCATTCGTTACATTCCGTTGATGTACGCTGCCGAATAGAGTCATTCGTTCAATTTTTATTTTAGTCCAATTTTCCTATTTCTGGTTAGTTCGATCTTAATAGTACCGACAGCTATCACATATGAAATTGGAGAACAAGGCTGGGTCATTTTCAATTTTAATATTTACAGACAGTTAAAAAGCCATTTCCGTAAGTTAAGAAGATAATTGTACAAAAAATACGTTTGGACCCCCTTTTATTAAATACGAATAATCTAAGTCTTTCGTGTATAAGTCAATTAAAACATTCACATTTCTAAACGGTTCTATCCTTTAATTTATAGTTCTTGATACATAAAATAATTCGTGTAAAAATGAATTTGCCGTAAGACAGATAGCGCCAAGCTCATTTTGTCGGTTTGTTTTGATTTTTGCTGTAGCTTGTTATATTAATACAAGTATTCCACAATAAACAATTCTTAAAAAAATATATATTTACGAACATATTATCCCTATTTTAGCTGTCCAGTTTCAATAATGTAATCAATGACATTTATGACATATACATAAATTTAGAATACTTCTCGATAAACTTTGCACATTTCAACAGTAAAAAAATCTATTTCTAGATTTGTCTACATTATTTTGTTAAACATCATGTGAAACCTGATCGATTCATCGGTATTTAACTGTTTTACTCGGAATCCGCTTTTAACTGGAAAATACTTTTAGAACAGTTTAAAACAAACGGTAAAAAGCAAAAATATGCTAAATTAAATACAATTTTCCATGCTAAACTGTTGTAGATTGAACAATTCTCGTCCGTTTTTCAAGTTTTTTACATCATACGACTTCTTTCTGAAGGTAGATGTTTTATATGATACAGCGCCACCTTCTTATTAATAAACCTCGGATTTCACACAGGTGCTTTATAATTACCGGACTCGATAAAATCAAGTGACTGATAAGAAATTCCAGATGCCATTTTACAACCGCGGTATCACAGATAGGAACCAAAGGGGTCTTGCCGCTGAGACTATAATTGAATAAAATCGTATGACTTTAGTACAGAGCTCTGCAGGCTGTTAATACATGCTAATTAGTCGTTGTTATTCCTTTTAAATATTACTTCCATGCCGTGATCTACTCTTTTTAGTTAGCAAGTGCCTGAACATTTTGTACCATAAAATGTGTCACTAATCAAGGATTTTGATTGGGGCTCTCTCTATGAGCTTAATGTTATTGAGATAGGTAAATCCTGAGCTAATTCCCAATGATTAGTTTGTGATTTTTCATTGACTAGGCCTTTGAGTGTTAATGTAGCCATCGTAGAGCAGGGGAATATAATGACTGAATAGCCATGTTAGAGCAGGGGAATATAATGACTGAATAGCCATGAATAGCCATGTTAGAGCAGGGGAATATAATGACTGAATAGCCATGTTAGAGCAGGGGAATATAATGACTGAATAGCCATGTTAGAGCTGGGGAATATAATGACTGAATAGCCATGTTAGAGCAGGGGAATATAATGACTGAATAGCCATGTTAGAGCAGGGGAATATAATGACTGAATAGCCATGTTAGAGCAAGGGAATATAATGACTGAATAGCCATGTTAGAGCAGGGGAATATAATGACTGAATAACCATGTTAGAGCAGTGGAATATAATGACCGAATTATTCTGAGTTTCAGCAACAAAAACCTAAAATGGTACCTTACCTGTCAAAGCCAACGGACTGTATGTTAAAGATTAATGTTCTACAGTAATTGCATAAATATTGGTGAATATTTTCCTGAGTAGATTTTTATACTTTAATACACCTTGCAAGTGATATATATATTCTGTGAGGGTTAATATTCATCAATATTCATACAATAAACCTTTTATTGTATAGCAAAACTTAAAAAACTATTTCAATATATTTTTGTCACTGATGACATCACTAATTTGAAGCTTTATTTGTACTAGTGCAATATGATATATAATTACAGGCTAAAAAGTAAAATAACAAAAATACCGAACTCCAAGGAAAATTCAAAACGGAAAGTCCCTTATCAAATGGCCAAATTAAAAGCTTAAACACATCAAACGAATGGAAAACAGCTGTCATATTCCTAACTTGGTACAGGCATTTTCTTATGTAGAAAATGGTGGATTAAACCTGGTTTTATAGCTAGCTAAACCTCACACTTGTATGACAGTCGCATAAAATTACTTTATATTGACAACAATGTGTGAACAAAACAAACAGACATAATAGGTAAAAATGTCAAAAATAGGGGTACAGCAGTCAACATTGTGTTATAATCTTATAAATCACTATAAAAAAACAAACAAATATGTCAACAAAGAAAAACCAAATGGCATATAGACAAAGCACATAAGCAAAAATGAAAGACATTTGGTTATATTCTGTGTAAAGAAATATGTTATTGCTATACAATAATTAAGGGTATTTGTTTGAATGTGATCTCTAGAAGATTTTTATATTGTAAGAGCTTGTGAGTGCAATATATTTATGTGGGATAATAATCATGTTAATATAAAATGTTGGAGGGCTTGGAAAACCTAGCCCTTCCCCAGTTCCTTAGCCTCATACAAAAAAGTTGATTTTTTTCTGACATCAACCTAATATTGTCTATTTTTTTGTTTCAGGTTTGACATTCCAGAGGATAAAGACACCTTCTTTGATAATGCTACAAGAAGTCGTATTGTCAATTTTATTCTGAGGAGAAAATCATTCAGCACTGATAAAAATGATGCCTATTCTTTTGGTAAGTACAAGTTAACCAAGTTAATTAGGTTTTTGCTTTGGAATATATTATCTATTGTTCTGAAAACATGTGTTGACTGTACATTTTATCCCATTTATTTTTAAGACTTTATAACAATTATATGAAATTTATAAGCAACAAGATGTTTTTTGGAAGCCTTGGTCTGTTTGCATAACGGCAAATGTTAAATCAAATAAAATATATGAAAAGGAGCATTTGAACATAATATTTTCTTTCTTTTCAGGTATCAACAAGATGATAAATGACAATATTTACACAGCAGCCTATTCATTACATGAGGTAAGTAAAAAATGAAAAATGCATCTCTCAGTGAATCATTCTTTAGGTATTAGTTTGAATTGACTTGTCAAGTTGTGTAAATACCATTCCCAGTCTTCCCTGTTGGTTAAATCTTTAAAAGACTTGAAAGGAAATGGACATAAACACTCACATAACTTGATTGAATAAAGATTGTCCTTAGAAAGAACAAAGGTAAAGGGACTGAAATTGAAAATAATTATTAGAGACATCCATTGAATAACACTCACACAATGTGGAAAAAAAATCATACAGGCACAGTTATTTCGTAGTGCATTTCTTTTAGACAATAAATTCAAATTAAAAAAATCGCACCTGCTCTATCTCAAAAAGATTTTTACAGTGTAGTGTACTACTATTGATACAAATAATATCAAAATTATAGAAACTTCTACCAGCTCTAACTCAAAATATTGACAATTCTGTGTTAAGGGGGGCTAAAATTCAGTTTGACAGCTTCAGACATTCTAATTTTTGACCTTTTTTAACTGGACCAAATCACTACTTAACATAAAGATTCAGCACCCAAATTTTTTTAACATGTAATTTCATCCCCTTACTTAATATTTCATGCATAAAATATCAAGAAATAAATTGGGAAAGTGTATCAAAAAAAAATGCAAGTTATACACTGTTCACACTAGGGACTATATTCGTAGACAACGAAAACCAAAGGACGATAACTGTGTCCTTGGACCATACAACTTGAAAATGTATAAACCTGTCCAAATTGGGGAAGGGATATAGGGAATAAAATAAGCAAATACTTTTGAATGTTGATGGGAAAATTAGAAGAGTTGGGGAGTGTCCATAAATATTACTTTTTATAGCATGCACAATATGACAATTCCGTTTGGACATTTAAAAGAGAAACTTTCATATTCTTAGAGCTTGGATATTTCCAAACACAACCCGCTAGATTCTTCAACTAGACTTTCTACAGTTTCTAAGTTTTACCTATAACACAGGCTACGAGACAACTGTTTTTTTTCAGCTGATACTCATGTTTCTCAGAATTGGGAGCATAGATTCTTTTATCAAATTCATACATGTATTATTTCTACTATCACTTTATAGGGTCATTGGAAGCCAGGCTCAGCACCCAATGAAAGAAAACTGCTTTTTGATCACTGGGGAAACTGGAGGAATATGTTTAAAGTTCAGCCATTGGAACATGTGAGGTAAGCTAAGCTTCCATTGCAGAATTTGTATTTTATCCTTTTTTCGGTATTAAATTAACATAGAATCAATGATAACAGAGGTCATGACTACTGTGAATTCATTTATTTTCGTGGGTACCAATCTTCAAGGATTATGTAAAAAATAGTTTTCGTGGATTTTTGATTTCCAGGTGTTACAATAGTCTGCATACAAATTACAAGCCTATAGAAAATTTGTACTGCACCATTCAATATTGCTTTGAACTGCAATTTAAGATAATTTTTGCATCTTTTTTATTTATATTTATTGTTTCAGTGTTTGATTTCAACATTTTCCTATGTTGTTTTGTTTTATTGTTAATAATTAGGTCACAAAAACCAGTCAAATGCAAAATGTTTTTTAAACTTTATTTTATTCTGCAATTGGCCATTTTAATATACAAATAAAGGTTTACAAATTAACATATTCGCTGTTGTGTACAAGTATTGTCTTGTGTTCTCTTTATTTTATAACCAGCTAACATTAGGGATTAAATTACTGTTTACATCACAGCTCATTTTACACTTTTCTTTACTCTCCATGTTAAATCAATTTGGAAATATAAACTGAACATTTAAGCATCAGTGTTAAATTTGCTGAATAAAAGAAATGTACATAGTTATTTAATGTATATTTTTTACTTATTAAGTATTGGAAAATACAAATTTGTCACTAAAACATGAGTTTCTGAAAGTACAAACAGTTGTTTTCATTTATTTTTACAGGAATTACTTTGGAGCTAAGATAGGGATATACTTTACTTGGCTAGGATTCTATACAATGATGTTAATACCAGCCTCTATTGTTGGTTTAGTGGTTTTCATATATGGAATAGCTGTGGCACCTGGCAGCTACCCAGCGTAAGTTTTTTTAATATTTCCTAATACACTGATATCTCTCTCATTTCTACAAACATATAAAAATAGAAAACTGTATGCTTCAATATCACATGCATTCTTGTTTGATTTCTGTGGATTTATTTTCATGGCTGTCAATTTTCATGGATTGAGGAAATATTATATTTTTCGAGGATATTTGATTTCGCTGTTTATACCAAAGTTTGCATACAATCTTGTAGGAATTTTGTGCTTTGTTGATCACTAAAATTTGTGGTTCACATTAACCCTCGAACTCCACAAAAATTGGTACTCCACAAATAATAATAAATACACAGAATATAATAATTTTTTAATATTTTTATCTTATTTTAGGAAGGAGATCTGTGATCCCAAAAATAACTTCACCATGTGTCCATTATGCGATTTTCAGTGTCCATATTGGAACCTGTATGAGTCATGTTCTAATGCCATAGCTAGTCGAATGTTTGATAATGGTGGGACAGTCTTCTTTGCTATATTTATGTCATTCTGGGGTAAGTCAGTCTTTTTTAATTTGATAAGTGACTGTTATATTATTTAGAAATTTTCATATGTTTAAAAAATACTTTCTTTTATATCTGTCATATAATTTTGATAAAACTGTGCTTTCTTACCCTAATATGCAGTTGAAACATGAGGGTAACTGAATTATTTTGTACTGGTACTAGTTTGGTGGCTTTGCTTCATAGCGAGGTCAAACCATAGACTTTAAACTTGGGATTTATTGCTCTGAAGCTAGGGAAACTGTAATCCATTAAGGTGCGTTGAGTAATGAATAAAAACAAGTCAGCTCTGAGCTATATATATTCATGTGACATTTATACATGTTATCCTGAATTTTAATATAATACTGTCAATTCAGATATTTCGCAATGTTCGTATTATTGCAAAAATTGCGACCATATAGGTGTCACTAAAATGAAAACTTGCATTTTAAATTCTGATTGTATAATTTTTATGCTGTATTCACAGTTTCTTGAAATCCCAATAATTAAACATGCATTTGTATCCATTGTTTAACAATAGTGATAATAAATGCACGCAATAATTTCTGAATTTACTGTATATTGTATAGCCACAGAACTCATCCTTCAACCTATCATTTTGTGATATTTGGTTATTTATATCTACATATATAATTTGGACAGGTACTTTATTTTTGGAATTTTGGAAGAGAAGACAAGCTACCATGCAGTATAAATGGGATTTGTTGGACTATGTTCGTGAAGAGGTAAATATATGTTCATCATTTATGGTTTACATGCTAGTTTATCGTCAAAATATAAAAATAGGATGTGGTATGATTGCCAATGAGACAACTCTCCACAAAAGACCAAATGACACAGAAATTAACAACTTAAAGTATGATTAAAAAAAAAATAAAAAGAAGGAAAATAGATGTGGGCCATCAGGCAATGAATCAGAAACAAACATCACAGTAGAACCACAAGTATCTGTGAGAAAGAAAAGAAATGCTGGTATGAACTAATTATCTTGAAGTTTGTCGATTTTACTCTGGTTTTAATAAGAACTGTTTGAAAACATATCCGGCTTTATTGTCATAAAAAATTTGAGTACAATTATCTTGTGATTATCAGAAGGATGTTGTTTAATAAATTTAGAATGCTTTGATAATTTTTGAATTTAAGTAGAAAAAGATGGTCTAACCATACCTTTTCCTGTTCAATGTTTCAGCAACCACCTAGACCTGAATACTTGGCAAGACTTGAAAACTGTACACATTATAGAATGCATCCAATTACTGGGGTAAGTGAAACCTATACTCACCATAGAAAACTGTACTCAGTAAAGAATACATCCAATTACAGGGGTAAGTGAAACCTATACTCACCATAGAATGCTTCTCAGCGAAAAACTGTTATTGTACTAACTATAGAACTCTTTTTTTTACTATGGTAAGAGAAAACTGCACTCACTTCAGAATACTTCCCATTATAAGAGTCGATGAAAAATGTACTTCTTTTAGAATACAACCTATGATAGGGGTCATTTTTTGTATGGTGGTGTTTTAGTTTGATGTCTTACAGACATCCTTTATAGCCCTTTCCAGAATCTTGTTTCCAAAATCATTAAATTTACTAAAAAATTATAATTTGAAGCAGGTTAATTCTCTTGTCATGAAGTAGAACTGCTTTACTGAAATGAAGCCTAATGAAGAGTCAACAATTAGCTGGTTTTCATCCCTGTTGATTTAAAGATAATATTTGGTTGATTTAAATATAAAAATTATTATTAATGGTCTTTTGCTTTTCAACATTATTGTAATAAAACTCAATTATAAAGCTGGAAATGTTTGTAAATTGTATTAACAAGTTGTTTTCTATTTATGTCTCATCGTTTCTCACCACTGCAGTGAACCAGTATACTTCCCAACAAGGGAAATAATTTGTAATCAATTGTAATTTTAAAATCAGATTCAGGCATTTAGAAGTGAGTTTCTAGAAAGTTCTATAATGAGGGAAAATAAATATTTATGACAATAATTTCAAAATTAAAATTCAACTTTTCTGTAAATGCTGTAGTTTATTTATACAACTTACAAACTGTTTCAGTTAAAATAAAATTCTTAAAGTTAAACCTTTCTTTTTACAGTTAAAAGAACCTCATCTACCATTCTGGACAAAGAGAGTACCTATTTTCTTGATGTCTTATTCAATCATGTTTTTTCTGGTAAGTATAACAACCCTTATCATACAGTATTAAACCAATCTCATAGAAATGCCCAAAGAAAATAAGACAGTTGTTTATAATTTCGTCATATTGATTGAGCAACCCAAACAGACAATACTTGGGATCCAGCCGCCAAAAATGTGCAAACATACATCACAGACATACAACACAATCGACTACAAAATTCAAACAAACATACAAATAAATCTAAGGAAATGTAGGCTCTTTTACCAGAGTGTTATTGATTGCCAAACTTTTACAATTGTTTAATTAGCTGTAGCTAAAATTGAAATTGAACTGACTGTTAAATGACATTAATTGTCATCGTTCCCATAACAATACCTTTAAAAATGACAAATGAACAGAATATAACTAGATTATGTGTCCATTGGAGACCATGCCCCAACAACAAATAAAAAGGTCTCAAGTTAATGTTACCACAAGTTCATATTGTTACAATTTCAGAAAATGCTGCAAACAAATTGTGCTATCAGAATTGAAAATGCAATTTTTGCGAAATCTATCCTGTTGCAATTTTTGTAGAAATAAGAACATTGCAAACAATTCTGAATTTACAGAGTAAAGAATACCAATACATAAGTATATTTATTTATCATTAGGGATTCCTAGCCATAGCTGCTGTATTTGGTGTGATAGCCTATCGTGTATCGGTGTTGGCTGCTCTGCAAGTTTTAACAAAAGACCGACCAACATCAACTAATTCTTCATTGGTTGCCACGACAACAGCGACAATCTATGAGAATGCCAGTCTGGTGACAACTGTAACTGCTGCTTGTATCAATCTGTTGATAATTATTATTCTAAACATGGTAAATTTGTTACAAGTTCTGAAATATTATTCTAAACATGGTGAATTTGTTACAAGTTCTGTTATATTATTCTAAACATGGTGAATTTATTACAAGTTCTGTTATATTATTCTAAACATGGTGAATTTGTTACAAGTTCTGTTATATTATTCTAAACATGGTGAATTTGTTACAAGTTCTGTTATATTATTCTTAAGGAAACATGGTGAATTTGTTACAAGTTCTGTTATATTATTCTAAACATGGTGAATTTGTTACAAGTTCTGTTATATTATTCTAAACATGGTGAATTTGTTACAAGTTCTGTTATATTATTCTAAACATGGTGAATTTGTTATAGGTTCTGTTATATTATTCCAAACATATTAAATTTGTAAGAAGTTATATAATATTATTCACTACATGGTAAATTTGTTAGAAGTTCTAAATAATATTCTGAAAATGGTAAATTTGTTAGAAGTTCTGTAATATTTTTCTTAACATGGTAAATTGGTTAGAAGTTCTGCCAGTACTTAAAACCACAGAAGTTCCTGCTAAATATTGCCTCACAATTTAAAACATTTGATGTCATAATCAAAAAGGGATTAATGCATGACGTCAGAAGGTCATTCATAGACATTTCTAAGGTCTTTTGCAGACAATTCAGCTAAATACCCAAAAGGGTAAATATGTCTATTGAATATATATTTACAGATCTACAGTCGGCTTGCTTTCTGGTTAACTGACTTGGAATGTTTGAGGACACAGAAGGAATATGATGATAGTATCACATTGAAATTGTTTGCCTTACAGTTTGTCAACTACTATTCCTCCATTATATACATAGCTTTTTTCAAAGGAAGGTGAGTTGATGGTTAAATGTTCTTTAACATTTGACATGTTTGCCATTCCAATTTTTGGTCTTGATGATTGACATTCCAAATTTTCTTTATTGATTTTTGGCTGGGCACCTGAAAAAGGTTAATTGAGAAATATATGTTGTGCACACAGAAAGGACAAGTTTCATTTTTGCCAATATATGGCCGTAGTTTTGAATTATCATAAAATATGGAAAAGGTCACAATTTGGTTCGTATATTGATGTTTTTCAAAGGCCTTAATGCTAAGTAAAACAAATGTCTTCTTAAAAGTACATTATATGCTCCAAAGTCATAAAAGTACATTAAATGCTCCAAAGTCAGCACATTTTTGGAGTATTTGCCAAAAAACTACGATTTTGTGCATTTTCTGATATAAAAGCTTCTGGAACCTTGGACCCTACTATCCAAAAAAGTAGTCAGGATTTATATTACAAATTGATTGGATCAGTGGTTGCGGCCAAAGTTAATTATTTTAAAAAGTGTCATAAATTAGTGGAAAAATTAGACCAAAATTCAAGCTTCAACACAAATGATGCATATTCAAAGGGTTATAACTTCAAAATTTATAATGTGATGTGCCAAAAAGATATAATATTTTATAGATAGTTATATCACAACAATTTTTATGTAAAGTTCGTAGTATTTTGGCCAGATAAAGAAAACAATAAAATCTGAGCCATTTTTAATCCTTTATTGGCATGCTCCTTTGTATTATACATTTATTTATAAAGGAAAATCTTTTCATCAAAATTGTGCAATTGTTTACCCCAAAAAAAAGTTTGAAAAAGCTAAAAAATTCACACACCCTCTTTAAAATAGGCTGATATTAACTTTGTATGACATTTTAACTTTGGAAATGTATCATTCTTGTTTTTTATCTCCCTTTCAACTAAAATATTACGAAAACCTATTTCGTTTATTAAATTATTTTCTGTTTTAGAAAACATAAAATTTGTTTTTGACACAAATAATTCATTAAGAATTTTGACGAAAAAAATCATATTTCAAAGGGATTCATTTGATCTTATGAATTACTTTTCTATTTCAGAATTATAGGAAGGCCTGGAAAATACACAACTATGTTTGGAGCCAGACAGGAAGAGGTATGCAGACTATTTTAATTTTTTTATGATAATGTCAGCCAGCTGGATCAGCTAATAGAAGTGTACTTTTATACCTCATTAAAACAAACTTAGAAGTCAGTTTTTATGTGCCAAATTTATACAAGAAGAACCTTCTTTTTCAATTTGATTGAAATACAAATCATGTGACCCTGCCACACTAAGAAGGATTGACAATGCTCTGTTTTACTTACGTGTTGATAATCACAGCTGCAAACCCTAAGGATCTGAATCTCGAAATAGTCTTTAAGAAGCAGAAAGTAAATTGGAGGCTTGCCAGGTCCTTGTAAGCCAATTATATTACCTCAATTAAAATCTTATACCTCTTAGTGACATTTTAGTTCTTATGTAATGGTTACATATGCTTATAAGCTTCCCATGAAAATTAAGTCACCTTGACTTGTTAAATTATGTGCTTCTAATTTCTTTTTTATACCCCCGCTGTAGCGGAGAGGGCATTACGTTTTACCCTTGTCCGTCTGTATGTACGTACGTACGTCCCAAAGTTGGTTTCCGTTCTCTAACTTAAGTTTGCCTCTACCAAATGTTATGAAACTTGTACACAATACTTATTACCACAAAACACAGATCAAGTTTGAATTTTGGTGGCGCTACTGTAACCGTTCTAGAGTTATGCCCCTTTATAAATGAAAAAATTGCTGAATTTTTAGTTTCCGTTCTCTAACTTTAGTTTTCCTCAACCAAATGTTATGAAACTTATACACAATGCCTATTACCACATAATACTGATCAAGTTAGAATTTTGGTGGTGTCACTTTAACAGTTCCAGAGTTATGCCCGTTTACAAATGGAAAAATTCCTGAATTTTTCGTTTCCGTTCTCCAACTTAAGTTTACCTGAACCAAATGTTATGAAACTTATACACAATGCTAATTACCACAAAATACAGATCAAGTTTGAATTTTGGTGGCGTCACTTTTACTGTTCTAGAATTATGCCCCATTACAAATTGAAAAATTGCTGAATTTTTTGTTTCCGTTCTCTAACTTAAGTTTGCTTCAACCAAATGTTATGAAACTGATACAAAATACTTATTACTACAAAACTCAGATCAAGTACAAATTTGGGTAGCGTCACTTTCACCGTTCTTCAGTTTTGTCCCTTTATAACTTTATATGATATGCAAGCGGGGGCATCATCTGTGTCCCATGGACACATTCCCCATTAATTTTATCCTGTTCTTGAAATAGTTTGAGTTGAACATACATTGTTCACACTGAACTGATGTTTTTATGCATTGTATTTTTGGTTTTTGTTTTATGTAGTGTGCAGCTGGAGGGTGCTTGATAGAACTGTGTATACAGCTTGCTATTATCATGACAGGAAAACAGTTATTTGTTAATAACTTTACAGAACTTGTTCTACCGTAAGTAATATTGAAACACATCTCTATAAAGTCTTTCATTACCAAAGTTAACCGTAAACGAAGGTATCTCATTTTGGGCTAATAATACATAAGAAGATAGCAACTGGAAATTTTTCATAATTCAAACATAGAATTTGTACTGATACTTATCATTAAAATAAAACAAAGAAACAAGTTTCCATTTGCAGAATTTCTTAAAGTATAACCTTGGAGACCATTATCAGGAATTTTTATGGTGAAAATAATTGTTTTTAGAAAATGTTTGTGTTTATAGTGCTTTTTAGTTTTTAAATATGGTTTTCAGGTGGTTAAGGTTACTGCTGTCGTCATCAGTATCATATCTATCGCACTTTGTTTAAATACAAATTCTTGAAAAATGATTTAACAGAATTCAACCAAACTTGCAAAGATTCTTCTGCAGGACATGGCAACATATCTGTGGTGCACCTGATTTATATCTGTGACGCCAAAGCCTAAAGCAGATCTAGTAACCTCTTGACTCCGTCCTTCCTTCCATTTGTCTGAAAGAACTTGGATAAGAAACTTTTGTCAAAGTTTTCTTTGATTCTATGAAAGGAAATGATTTAATATATGGTCTGTAGCTTGATAATGTTAATTTGTAGGATGTAAGCAATTTTTCATCTGCCATGTAGACACTTCCCATTTGATGATAGTTTGAAATTTCACAAAACTCATTGTACAAGCAAAATTTTCTTCAAAGTTTACTTGGCTTCTATGAAGGCGAATAGTTTATTATTTGGTCTGCACAATGATAATGTTCAGTTGTAGCTGTAAGCAGTTTTTACATCCACGGTGCATTCACTTCCTGTTTGCTGATAGTGCACTCATTTCACAAGGAAAATTTTTGTCAAACTTTTCATGGCTCCTATTGAAGGGAATGATTTTATATTTGGACTGAAGCTTGATAATGGTGGTTTGAAGCAAGTAAGCAATTTTCACATCCACCATGCAGCCACTTCCAGTTGGTGATATTTTGAAATTTTACAATACTCATTGTACATTGAAAACTTTTGTCAAAGTTTTCGTATCTTCAATGGAAGGGATCAGTTTTATGCTCCAATCAATGGCATGCAGCAACGCAGGATCAGTCCCTGTATTGGTCTTAAGCTTGTTAAATTTTTTATCCGAGTGATTTTCAGGGTTTCCTATACCAAAACTTTTGACTTTGCCATTCCTGCTTATTTTATTTGGAGGAAGAAGGCTATTTACTTAAAGTTACTGCTATCATTTATTTTTAATGTTTGTTTATTCTTCAGAAAACTAATAAAGATGATAAAGAGATGTCTTTCCAAGGAGACAAAGGCAGAAAAAGCTTCCAGAGCATCCTATGAGAAAGATTACAAGTTAGAGGCTGCTCAGACAACCTCATTGTTTTATGAATATTTAGAAATGGGTTAGTATTTAGAGCTTTCTATGAGAAAGATTTCAAGTTAGAGGCTGCTCAGACAACCTCATTGTTTTATGAATATTTAGAAATGGGTTAGTATTTAGAGCTTTCTATGAGAAAGGTTACCAGTTAGAGGCTGCTCAGACAACCTCATTGTTTTATGAATATTTAGAAATGGGTTAGTATTTAGAGCTTTCTATGAGAAAGATTACAAACTTGTACTAGATTCTTAATATAAATGTAAGATATTGGTTTCATTGCACACACCAGATGTTTTTATAACGACCATAATCAAGTACTGTAAATTCAGAAATTATTGCGAGGTTTTTATTATTGCGAATAATGCGACTGGGCGAGGATCGCAATAATAAGAACTTGCATTCTGATATCTTGTACATATGTCTTTATGCAGATTTTCTTGAAATCGCAATAATTAATCTCGCATTTTTGTCCATTCTTCAAAAATCGCAATAATAAATGCACGCAATAATTTCTGAATTTACAGTATGCACCAGATCAGAAGTTTTGAAATTAAATAATTTTTTTTAGACATTTGATTTTACTGTGAAAATGCATTTTTAACTCTGTATGCATTTTTAAAAATAACTTGAATACATTTTCATTTTTGAAGAAAGTACTTTGTAGTGGCTAAACTTTAAAATTTGATGAAAATCACAAATCTGTTGCATATCAAACATATTTAACATTTTTTTTTATCGTTATATTTTAATTGACAGAGAAATTAAAAATTATGGTATTTGGCTTTTGCCAGTTTGTGGATTAAATTCTTATACATGTTCATATTGTTGTATTTTTTTTAATAGTGCTACAGTTTGGATTTTTGACAATTTTTGTGGCAGCTTTCCCACTGGGACCTCTCTTTTCTCTCATAAACAACATTATAGAGATCAGAATGGACTCATCCAAAATGATCACACATCTGAGGAGACCACTTGCTGATAGAAGTCCAGATATAGGTATGGATCAGAAATTAGAACAATTCCGAAATAGCGTTGCATTATGGGAAAGTCACTATGTTGGACATTGTGACAAGTCCAAAAATCATTTTGGAGGACTGTGACTCCACTCAATATAATTTAAGAGGACAAAAGTGAATTATTGAAATAGTTCTAACTTCTCATTAATTCATGGAAAGGCTGTTCAAGTCTTGTTTACCAGTATGTCACACTACAAAGTCTGTTTATTTACAGCGTTTCTAGACACCTGACAATTACAGCTTTACCTATTGTGTAGACAACAGAGGTCTTATATTTCTTTCTGAGTGTCATAGAAGTTTGACATTGCAAAATTTTTTAGTTTTCATGGAAGTAAAAATAAAAGTTACCTCATACATTGTGTAGCTGTTAATCTATTATTTTGCTTCTAATTTAGATTGATACATAGAATATTCAATAGCAAAACAGGAATGTGCATGCAAAATTTACTGCTTTAATTTGCAGCCTCTTGATTCATCGTTTTCTGTGTAATATTTTAAAGATGGATTATCATGATTATTGTCTGTTAATTTTGCCTCTATCTACTGTGCTTTGTTTGTCAGGCTTTGATATAGATTGTCCATAGATTTTTTTTAATTTCACAATATTTTTTTTAAATTTCAGGCATTTGGTACAGTGTATTGTATGGAATCTCAAGAATAGCTATAATCTCTAATGTAAGTTCTGCAAAATAAGAGGCATAACATTCTATATGTCGTAACAATGATATATAAATGAGGAGTAAAAATGGCATTCAGTTTCAAGCACCTTTCTAACAATTTTCCACTGCAAGTGTATTATTATTTCTAAATCTCTTATTTCTGTTCAATTATGATAAACCCTTGAAACAAGATACAATTGGTTCAAAACAATCAACTTAAGTAAATGGCATATTACCTTTAAAAAAAGTGACATTACAGGAATTATATCAAACAATGTGCAGAAAATTTATTTATTTGTAAAATCTTTCTTCGATGTCACAATTTGGAGAGAGCCCTTGTTTAAACCATACAAACCATTTTGTGATAATCTCTTAACAGAAAACATGCAACACCCATAATTTTGATCCATGTAGGAGTAAATGTTTATGCTCCCCTCAGCAGACTTGCTTGCCTGTTTGCCTCTAGTTCGAGAAGTTGGTTTGTTCCCCATTTTTGTCATACCGAATATTATAAAATTGATATTTGGTGCTTATCCACCTAGCCTACAACATTTAAAGTAAGAGCAAAGAGTGATTTGCTTGGAAACAGAATAATTTGTCTGTGTAAGGTGACTTGTCTTCCTGCAGACTGTTAGCTTGTGAGCCAATTTGTTAAAAATCTTATCAAACTTGTTGGTATAGTGAAAGGCAGGTTTAGTGTCTCTTATAATATTCTATTTATATTTTTCAGGCCTTTATAATTGCTCTTACATCAGATTATATACCTAGAATGGTATATCTGAATTCCTACAGTAAAGATGATTCTCTGAAAGGATATCTCAATCATACAATGTCATATTTCAACACATCAGATTTTGAGGTAGATCATAGGCCTACATATGCAGGAAGTGAAAACATACAGATTTGCAGGTATGGTCTTTAATTTATCCAATAAAAGAAGCAGTTTACTGATTATTGTAAATAAAAATTCTTTTTTCCCTTCACTTACAGGTTGCCCTTCATGTTTTTTCTCCTCTTATCCAGAGTTTGAGTCTGCTGCAGCCGGCCTTCCCCCAACTGACGACTCGGTAACTGAAAATTTATATGAATATTGCATAACCATCTTTTTGGAATATGATAGTTACAACGCAGATTGTTGTTTTTTGTTTGTATGCTTTTCTTGGATTCATGGTATTTCAATCTTTCACTTAGGCCACCCTTAAAAAATTCTATGTTTGATGTTACCTACCCATGCCTTGTAAGGTTGGGTAGGTAGGTAGCTATTTTTTTTATTTTTTTTTGGCCAACAACACAAGTTACATGTATTATACAAGAAAACACTGTTAGAGCAAGAAAAAATCTTTAAAAAAAAAGTTTAAACCGATTTGTGTCATAAAATTTTTTGGGTAGACTGCATTTTCATGTTTTGAGGTGGTTAGGTAGGCAACATCAAACAATCTTAATTTTATTTTTGTCCTTATTAATCAGCGTAGGACTTATCTCTCTATCTTTCAATTTTTTCTTCACTAGAACTGATCTTTGCTACATTTCAAAAGAAATCAAATTATAAAGTCACAAATCATATACTAAGACATATAAATACTAAAAAAAACCATTAAATAGAGCTAATTAAAATGGGAATTTCTAAAAATACCAACCTGCAAAGGTATATCATAATTTTCTTGCAACTGGTAATTTTTTTATAAATTGTATCTCATATTGAAGAAAGAATTTGTTCCAAAAGAACTCTGTAAATAAAAAAGTTGTCTGAAGCAGTTTTTTTTTTTATCATTATTGAATTCAGCATCTTATGAAATGTCACACAATCTCTAGATACAATGACGAGTTGGAAAGTCATAAGTAAACATCATTATTAGTTCTAGTGTAAACCATTTATCTTCCTAAACATGCATGAAATATTTGCCACTGGACATTAAGCAACCAACAATCAATCCTAAAGGCTGTTGATTACATTCATCCTGTAAGTCTATTCTTTTCGTTAACGTAACTTTTAATCTTTAAATGAATGGGTTGACATGACAAATTATTTTGATGATAACAATTTGAGTACCGTAAGCTACCTCTAATTAGAAGTTTCCGAATCTAAAGAATTGTGGGTAACATTATATTTTCGTAAACCAACATTACACAATTGGTCCAATATACATTGTGTGAAACACTATCAGCCTATCACAAGGGTTTGGTTTATGCTTTGAGTGTATTACCCAGAATGCATTGGATTATGAAACAATGAATTTTCAGGGTTACATTTTACCCCAAAAAGTTCAAAGTTGTTCATTTTTGTCTGCTTCATATTGTTAGGTTAATATCTCGTTGATGCTTTCCCTTGTTTCTCATCTTACTAATAATTATTGACAATTTTGGTACTCATTTGAATGCCTGGGCATTTTTGATGACCCATTTAATATTTGAATGAGTGGACATGTATATTGTGAAAAGTATTCTTTCAATATTAAATATTTTCCTCTATTTATAGATACAGAGATTTTAGAAACCCACCATGGTCAGAGAATGCCTATGAATTTTCACAATTATTCTGGCATATACTGGCTGCTAGATTTGTATTTGTAGTAGTATTTCAGGTAAGGTTATATTAGAATCTTATTTTTTTCTTCCATATAAGGAAAAGAGGATTGATAATTTATTTATCTTGTTGAATTTTCACTTAGATTTAATGAATTTTGAAAATATATTTGATTTCTTAAAATTACTTGCACTAAAGTCCTTTTTTCTTGTAATGTCACTGGTTTTAAATAGAGTACTATTTTCTATGATTGAAAGTTTCATTTGCAACTCAACTATTGATTGGTCAAAATTGGTAATGGTCAAATTCAAGTGAAACTCGGACAGCAGTATGTGTGTGAAGAATTTGTAAAGAAAATATTGAAAACTTTCCATATTGCCCTTAATAGTTTCACTGAAGAAGAAATAGTTTTTACTCTATGACCAGGGACTTATTATTGCTTCATGTATGTGCACTTACCATCATTCATTCATGTGTATGTCTGTTTGTTTTGCTCACACATTGTTGTCAATATAATGGAATTCTATGTGACTGTCATACAAGTGAGAGGTTTAGCTAGCTATAAAACTAGATTTATTCCACCATTTTCTGCATAAGGAAATGCCTGTATCAAGTCAGGAATACAACAGTTGTTTTCCATTCATTTGATGTGTTTGAGCTTTTGATTTTGCCATTTGATAAGAGACTTTCTGTTTTGAATTTTCCTTGGAGTAAGGTATTTTTGACTATCATTGAAGGAAAGGTTTAAATTGGTTATTGACAGGAATAAATGAACTTTTAATGGGACATTTGAAAACATTTTAAGCACATCTTAGGATTAAACTTCATTAAGAGCAGTCAGAAGTTTTTTAAATGATAAAACATGTCTATATACCAATCTATAAGGGAGTAATACATTCAGAAAGGAACTGAAAAAGAATAGCTAATTTATCTAATGTCTTTAAGATTGTTTGCTTGTTCCATATGAAAAATTGTAAGGAGCAAAATCTGGTTGGCTTTGAATCATAAACAAAATATTGTTTGTGGAAATTTTCCTCTTCTGCAGACTGTTGCATCAGTAAGCTAACACTTTAAAAAAACAACTTAGCCTGTCTGCTAGATAATAAAGATTTCTGAGAGAAAAAAATCTGTGCACCTCTAAATACAAACCTATTTCAAATATTGAATACTGGACTTCTGAACAAACTATTATGAACTGAACACCACAACAAAATGCATGAACCAACCTAAGGAGTTAATCTCCAGAGAAATAATCACAAAAAATCATTATCAACAAGCAGTTTACTGAGATAAAATTGAGAATGGAAATGGGGAATATGTTAAAGAGACAACAACCCGACTAAAGAGCAGACAACAGCCAAAGGCCACCAATGGGTCTTCAACGCAGCAAGAAAATCCCGCACCCAAAGTTGGTCCTCAACTGGCCCCTAAATAAAATTGTGTACTAGTTCAGTGAAAATGGACGTCACACTAAACTCCAAAACATATAAATGAACTAAGATTAAAAAAACATACAAGATTAACAAAGGCCAGAGGCTTCTGACTTGGGACAGGCACAAAAATGCGGCGGGGTTAAACATGTTTGTGAGATCTCAACCCTCCCCCTATACCTCTAGCCTGAATTTATAGCAGTCCATAGAAAATTATAGTTTGATATCCTTATCAAATCTAGAATGAAAGGGGTGTGTATAGTATAGTAACAAGATACTATGCATGATATAAAAATAAGGAAATACCCACCAGTGTCCAATTGACATTTATCTATCACTGTATGACCTTCAATAATGAGCAAAACCCAGACTGTATAGTCTGCTATTAAAGGCCTTAACATGACAAAATGTGAAACGAGAAAACCAATCACTTGATTTATAGCAAAACAATGAAATAAAAACAAATATGACAGGCAACCATAAGACAACCACATCCTTTGGAAAGGCACATGCTAGATGTGGTGGGGTTAAACATGTTTGTGAGCACTCAAATCTCGCCTAACCTTGGACAGCGGTGTAAAAGCACACCATTAGAACAAACTGTTAATATCAGTTGTCTTTTGGTAGCCAATAAGACTGACAAAGACCAATTGTTATATCTTAGCTCTGTTATTCAAACAGTCTCTTTAAATTTTAAATATTTTTTTTCAATATTAAATCAAATATATTTTTTAAAGTATATCTCGATTTTAGATGATTTTACAGTGATCAGGTTAAATATAATTTGAGCTCATATTATTTTTTTTCAGAATGTAATTGTTTTGATCACTGGTTTGATTGCTTGGTTAATCCCAGATGTCCCAGCAGAGTTGAAAGTTCAAATCAGAAGGGAGGCTTATATTAGCAATGAAATTATTATAAAGACAGAATTACTCCGGGCCCAAGGAAAGTCTCCAGAGGAAGGAGAAGCAGCTATTGAAGCAATATCTGAAGTTGGACCACAGTATCAAGTTGATGATACAGGAAGTGCAAAATTAATGTACAGGAAGTCTCCTGGGAACTCTCCTGAAAGGGAGGAAGAAAATATTGTATAAATATATAAGATTTGTTTCTGAAACTTTTCCCAAAAGCAGATTTTGAAAATAGCTCACAAAAGATCTGGATTGTTGCATCTTGTACCCATATATATTTAATAATGAGATTACTTGATAAATAGTTGTAGAAGATTGATAAAATATGACAGAGAGAGTAATATTTTTAGTGCTAAAAGATCTATTCATTTGTACAGATTTAGAGGTTCTTAAAAATTGATATTTTTTTAACTTATTAGTGAAAAATTTAGCTACGTAGGCTTTTGTTATATTCTTGTTATTTCTATTTTTGTCATGAATAATGAAATACAAGGAAGCATATCTGTTGAATTTCTCATTTTTTAGTAGTTAGTGATGTAGCAGTTTTTTTCTCCCCATTCCTAGTTTTTGTGATATTCATGTTCTGATTGTTGGGATAATTTATGTAATTGTTTCATGAATTATAGGTGCTTTAAATGACATGGAATACTAAACTGTTATTAAGTGAATATTACAAAATGATTACATGAACATTCATGTGTTAAATATAAGTTATGTAGTAATATTTTTGACAACATATAAATTGCTTGCCTTTTAAAAGTATACATTTTCTGTAAACTCAGGGTCACAAATGATGTTTTTTGATTAATGTAGGTTTCTGCTTCTCATAAACACAATAGAATCTGGTTGATGAGAACATTTGAAAAATCTTGTTGTAATATGTGGGTGTCTTACGTATGAACCATAAACAAGGGTGGTAAAGGATTATTTTTGTGCAACGTGTTTTGCCATTTTTATTTCACGTGCAGCCGTGAAAAAGGGTCGTTATTCACCGTGTTTCGGGAAATTGGTAAAAAGATCAACGTACAAGAAATTTTTAATTGTTCATTCATCGTGAAATGGTTATTTTATATCGCGTTCTTCCGTGCAGATACCCCCCTTTACGCCCCTCATAAACTATTAGTGTTTTGACCAGTTCTCATGCAATTTTTAAGTCTGCTTAAAATCTTTTTCAGAGGTTGTTATTTTTCTAATTATAAAATGTTGATATTAAGACTGTTCTGAAAAGATACAGCTTAATTCAGTTATGGACTATTACATAAAAGTGAATGATGGAGGGAAGGAACATAACATGGGTCATTTGATGTTTGCAAAATCGCTCAAGTAAAGTATGTTGGTTATAAGTCCCTTTCTTCCCTCTCCCTTCCATTCTAATTGAATAGACCTAAGTATAGTATTGATACTCTAAAGTTCCACCTGAGCCATTTGGATTTCTACAACTAACATATTTTTGAAAATCTCTTACAACAATTGAAATGGATTTCACACAAAGTTTTTTCTATTTTTTGAGTCCATGTCATTTGTGAGTTGAAGATTTTCACGAAGTCTCCTTTCAAAAAATTATGTTGTTGAGTGTCATGACAGGAAATCAACTTTTCTTTCACATTTCTTATTGTTATAGAAAGAAATGCTATAGGATGAAGAAAAATTATGCGATTAAAAAGGATTTGACCATTGAATTAAATTGGTTTACACATGAATGGTTAATACTGTAAAGTGATTGGTAAACATTTGTGGGACATTGACATGGGAGTTTTCCAAATGAATAGGTTATTGTTAAGTCTTTCTAAGTTTGGACTTCCTTTGTTATGATAATTTTTCCTGCATTGAAGGTTGACATCATAATAAAGGTTCAAAATTTAATGTGAACAAATTGGATTGATTAATAGGTTGTGTCTGTGAAATTGATTCCAGATTTTTCCAAAATGTTGTTTTGTTTCTGTTTTTATAGAGTATTTATTTCTGTGTGTTTTTTTCAAAATATGATTATTTATAGTATAAGTTTCTCCATTCATAGTTGAGATTTAATACAGTCTACATGAAAACGTTTTTGACCTACAAGCCCAAAAATCAGGCTGTCATAAAGTTTTTGTAAATTTTTATGGCTTGTGTGACCTCCTTTTAGGAAAATGTTACTGCCCTGAAAACTTTTTTGGTCTGGGCCTTAGGGCTTGTTAATGTTGTTTAACCTGAAGTCTACTAATACCTGTATATAAATTATTTTCAAGGCAAATCATTGAAATTTCATACATCAATGGTTGCCACTTTTTTTCAAATTGTTCCATCATTTGAATTTTGTCATATTGAATATAGGCACAAATACTCTAGTAAAGTGATTTTTAAGGTAAAAAAGACATACATACTCAAACCATGTTGAATTTGAATTAGTTTATGTGTTTGTTTATTATAGCTTTAGTAATGTAGTATTTGTTTAAAAGTAAAGAACTAGTTTGTATTTCTCTTGTTTTATTTTTTATATATTAATATGGCCTTGTCTTTTTGTCAGTATTAGAGTAACTTTATTTACTATTTTACTTTTAGTTAGCATTAAGATAGATACTGACTGTCTTCATTGAATTTGAAAGTAGATTATCCCTAGAATGGATAATTTGAACAAGGAGAATGAATACATAAGCACTGTTACACAATTTTTCTTGTGTTGAAATTGATTTTTAACTTAATGTATGCAACTCTTTATGGACTTGTTCATTAGTATATAAAGCATTTTTTAGCGATGCATTTTATTTTTGGATTTTTGTTTCCTATATTTTGTATGTACAGTAAAATCTGTTTTTTTCAACAAGTCTTTAAGAAGTTGAAAATTAAAATACCCTACCTTAGTTCATTATATTTATTTTTATTTTTTATTTTAGGTCAACCCTCCCAACTAAATCAGTTTTCATTCATGACAAAGTTGACATCTCAATACAATATTAATGGCATATGATGTTTCCATGTATTTTTTATTTGTTGTAAATAATTGTTTTTCAGCTTAAATGCTTAAAAACCTCATCTGTAATATTGCTTTTAAACTTTTTTAACTTCTTCATTCTTGATACATAAGTTGAATAATTGTCTTGGAACCCCAAACTGGGTACCTGTTCATATTACATGTCATGTAATCTGTTTCCACTTGAGTACCAGGCAAAGCCCATTATTAAGTATTGGACCAACATTGAGTGAGTTGGATTATTTCCACTTGGTACAAAACAGCATTTATAAAATACTATAATTTTGAGAATTAACTTTTTTTTCTAGTTTATGTAGCCATCCATTTTATTGATAAATAGTTTAGCGAACTTTGTCATCTTTTCCTATGTCTCTGAGTCTTTTCAGCTCATTTCTTTTGCAGTAAAGGTTGAAAATCCCTCAAACATTTTTAGGTGTTGAAACTAAAATTTGTAAGACCTATCAATTTTATGATAGATCTTGATATAGATTATTTTAACCTTTACTGTTGTAAGAAATTGGGTAACACATGAACAGTTTCTGTTGTAAAAAAAGAAAAAAAAAGTGCTCTAATGCTGGAACTCTGTATGTTCAATAAAATATTGGATGTATTAGTATGTCAATTCATTTTTGCATTTGACCATGAAGATACTCATATTTCTTGGAGGGAGTGATTTTAACAGGTAGATGTTAACAAATGTCATTAGGCCTTCCAATCTCATTTGACATTGAACATTTGAAATTTTTATGAAAGTACCTCTTATAGGTAGGATTGTTATGCATTTTCAATACTGATGACATAGAGCTAAATCATCAAGACAATGATTTTTGAGATATGAATGTACTTGATTTTTCCCATGAAAATGTAATTTTGTGCAGATTTTATACATTAGATATTATATAAGTTTTTGTATATTTTGTTTTGACAGTAAACAATCTTAACACTGCAGAACTCTGTTATGGTTAAGTGAATTAATAGTTTTGTAATTATATGAACAAAAACATTGTGTATAAGAAATATACTTTTATCTTATCATATTTTCTAAATTTTAAGTTTTGTAGATGCAGTATTTATTTTTTACATTTGAAAGGTTGAAAATTTTCCTTACCATTAAATTATGTATACTTATAAATTTTAAAAAAGTCTAATAATTTTTATAATTATAGCTTTCATCATTACTAATGATGCCATATATGAGTTAACAAAATTTTCTGTTACTGGTTAATTCTGTTTTGAATTTCATCAAGAAGTTGTTTAAAAAATGTCAAACATTTTAAACTGTGAAAACAATATTACTAGGATAAATTTAAATTGAAACCACCTGAAGCTAGCATTTTCATCTGGGCAATTTTATTTTCGATAATAAACAACTGTTGAAATAACTCTAAATAAAATTCATCTGACCAGTTGCACAAATATTGGTTAATATATTTACTTGTTTGGTTATAAGAGTCTTATTATTTGATACTAGTTTACACCAGTAAAACCATATATATTTTTATGTGCAATATCCTTTGTAGGACACGAGTTACATGTATATCTTTTAACAAATCTGTATATATTTTTATTTCTTAGACCTGATTGCCATTATAAGTGCCTATATTATAGTGTTCTGATGTTTGATAATCTTATTAATGATGAACTTGGCTGCTATTTTCAGTTTTCTTTCAAATGATATTATGGTCTTTTTAGATTGCTGCAGGACTAAAGAGAGTTTAGATAAAGAAGTTTTTTTTTCAGAGCAAAATTGTTCTAGCTTGGTTAATGTAAACAAAAAAGGGTAAATCACTCAAGTAAAGATTTCCAGGTGGCATTTAAACTGTTTACCATCAAAGTCAACCATACATACATTTTTTGTTGCCACTGGTTTCATTTTGATCTGAAATTATTTTTTATCAAATCTATTTTTTTTCAAGATGCTGTGAAAATGCTTTAATGTTTATTTTATGGATATTTTTACTAAAATTGACCATGCATTGATATACCTGATACACCTTTGGAACCCTCTGCCGAAGCACTTTTCATTTTAACAGCCTTCCTTTTTCCAATTAATTGCTATTAAATGTCAGAAAATGAAATAAATTATTGCAAATTTTTTTTTGATAGTATGCAAACAAAAGGTAAATTTTTCTCAATTTAAACAGCCTTTAAGTTACTTGTTTACTTCATTACAAAGTTTTGTATATTTTTATCATAGATGTACATATATCAGAAAACTTCAGGCATGAATCTCTTAAAGTGTGAAAATGTCTAAACTATGACTTTTAAAACCAATATGTTGACTTTACTTCACAATTATAGCTTTTTGTCTAATATTTTTTTAAATTCCATACATTTTTTCAAATTTTCACATTGTTTACCTTACTCAAACATTTTTACAGCATACATTAATTACTCATGTCTGGTATTTAAAGTTGTATTGATATTGATAGTTATGTATTTATGAAACTGCATTTTACCCTGCAAATAAAAAAAACATACCTCATTCTAGTCAGTAGTTTTCTTAATTTGTAATTGAAAAATATTATACAGTTAGAAAGGTGAATCTTTCATTTATTTTTTATTTTTTAAGTTAACCTTACTTGGGTCAATGATTTTTGACATCACCATTACTAACAACAGAATATTCAATATAAGTATCTGAAAAATCAAGTAAAGAACAAATTGTCCCCAAACATGGGGTAAATGATACTCAATTGGACAGCCCTTATAAGGGTTTTAATTATCTTATAGTTGCATTCAGTATTGAAAAAAAGAAAATTTGTTAATTAATCCCTATAATTCTGTTAGTAGTTTGTTTTGAGATTTATGAGTAAAATATGGCTCAAACTGTTGAATATGCCATAATTCGAAAATGAGAAATTAAACAAAATACCAAATAGCAAAAAAATTTGATCAAGTATCAAACTTCAATGAAAGATATATGTGCGGCCCCTATAATCATTATCATAATTGGTTGCTACTGTTACTAAAACTAAAAATTTGCCAAATTAGAAATGTCAAATTAAAAAAATATTTCAAAGAATGAATTACAGTCAAACTGAGGAAAAGAATAAAATTATAAACTCTTTCTTATTATGTCTCCCCTTCGACTAAGAGAGACATTATGATTTAGTAGTGTTTCTTCTTCTGGTTCTGGTTCTTCCAATTCTCATGCAATCATGTCTCGGCTATAACTTATTTTTGCCTTTTGACACTGGCTTATAACATTTGGCATAGAGGTGTATAACCATAAGATTGTGTGTCACAAATCAGTATGACCTCTTATACCTAATTTGTTTTGACATTTTGGGGGCTAGAACATATGTTTTTTTTCCTGTAGGACATAGGCTTATGATATTTGGCATATGGATGCAGCATCTAAGAATGATGTCTCAATTATAATGGAAGATGGCCTTGACCTTTGACCTTGAAGGTCAAAATATTTATTTTTGTATGTCCACGCCAATACCATATATTTTCTTGCTTGCCTTTTCAGTGCAACTTAGGATTTGCCCATGGAAAACGTTCACGAGGACCTTGACAAAGGGTAGACATTAGTTTTAGTCCCATTAAACAGTTCTAACTAGCTTTATTCTATGATACACGCTCCCATCAAACAAAGCCTTGAATATTACTGAAAATGGAAAATTTGGAGGGGGTTATAAAATTAAAATCATGCTACTAGCCCTTATTGCTTATTTGATTTGGACTTGCAATTCTCTTTAAACATCTGGTTGATGACCCTGACAAACAATAAAGATGGATGTCACCATTAATAAGATAGGAATATGAATGCATAATAATCATATCACATCTTATTTTTATACTAAAGGGGAAAAAACGTTTCAAAGTGGATTGATTTTTGTTCCGTTCGTGTTACTGAATTAGTTGTAAACCCCTGGGACGTCATAAAATGGAAATCGCCAAAACATATATAAATTGATATGTTTCCCGTCCGGCATTGTAAATATACTCTTTAAAAGAAAACACCCAATGAATGTAACATGACAGATATCACTAGTGAAGCAGGAACTGCTAACCTTTCATTTTTGTCTATTATCATGAAAACTACAATAGATAGAGAGAAACTTTAAATAACAAAAATGATCATAAAAACAAGATCTACAAAGAAGTCAAATAACCAAAGAGTTCAATTGTCTCCTATTGCCCTTAAAGGAAGATTTATTTTACCATTTTTGTCATTGCTTTATTGCCTATTATTTTAAAAATATAATAGATAGAGAGAAACTTTGAAAGCAAACATTATCAACAAGACAAGATCTACCATTAAGTCAATATTGCCGAAATCGTTATTCGACTCTTTATATGATAGAATTGAGAATGGAAACGTGGAATGTGCCAAAAAGACAGCAATCCGCCCAAAGAGCAGAAAACAGGCCAGGGCCACTAATGGGTCTTCAACGCAGCGAGAAAATTCCGCACACGAAGATGGGCTTCAGCTCATCCATAAACAATATGTATACAAGTTCAGCGAAATGAACACCACATTAAACTCCGAAACATTTAAACCAACAAAAATTAAAAAAAAACACAAAAGACTAACAAAGGCTAAAGGTTCCTGACTTGGAACAGGCGCATAAATGCAGCGGGTTTAACATGTTTTGTGAGATCTCAACCCTCCCCCTATACTTCCAGCCTATGTGGAATAAACAATTACACAGCAATACGCACAGTAAAACTCAGTTTAAAAGAAGTCCGAGTCCGATGTTAGAATAGGTAACAGAAGAAACTAAGGAAAATGACGATGGTCAACATAAATTAAAAAAGGACTACTAGCAGTTATTGCAAGCTCCAGACCTCAATCAAACTGATCGAAAGATTATGCCCGTTAGGGGTTTAGTATCATGCCATCATTAATTATACGAGAAGAACATTACCCGTATCATGCAAACAACTTGTTTTAGAATAAACGTGTTTATATCCGATGCAAGACCCTATGAGTGAATAAATATTAATTCCAAAAAATGCCATCTTTAATGACTTGACAACAGTGTCGTAACTATATCACTTCTGAATAAGTCTGTTTAAAGCTTTGGTTAGCTTTTAAGGTGAATGCCGACATTTTTTGTGCTTTGTATAGAATATTACCATAAAAGTTGGGATGTAAAAATACCTGAATGTATAATGTCTGCATGTTGATTTTTGTTACGAATGATGTCCTTGTACCGATGATAAACAAACTGAAAACAACACGTTTAATAATTTCATGCGTCCGAAGCGCTTTTCTGGATTTACCTTCATCTGGAACGCTCAAAGCCAAACATTTGAAATCCGAGGGATGTGTAAGTACCGAAACAGTTGAAGAGCTATATGACAAAAATACCTAAAACAAATAGCCAAATCCATCTAAGGCCAACTTTGCCTGAGGGAGTTGAAACCTTAGTTTCTGTATAATTTCTAAATTTATAAACGGGCAATTTTAGAAAAGTTTGTTATAAATCATGTCAGTACCGAAGTACTGACTACTGAGCTGATGATACCCTCGGGGACTGATAATCCACCAGCAGAGGTATCGACCCAGTGATGTAAAAAATTGAAAACAACACGTTTAATAATTTCATGCGTCCGAAGCGCTTTTCTTGATTTACCTTCATCAGGAACGCTCAAAGCCAAACATTTGAAATCCGAGGGATGTGTAAGTACCGAAACAGTTGAAGAGCTATATGACAAAAATACCTAAAACAAATAGCCAAATCCATCTAAGGCCAACTTTGCCTGAGGGAGTTGAAACCTAAGTTTCTTTATAATTTCTAAATTTATAAACGGACAATTTTTTAGAAAAGTTTGTTTTAAATCATGTCAGTACCGAAGTACTGACTACTGAGCTGATGATACCCTCGGGGACTGATAGTCCACCAGCAGAGGTATCGACCCAGTGATGTAAAAAATTGAAAACAACACGTTTAATAATTTCATGCGTCCGAAGCGCTTTTTAGTAATAATTTTGACAAGTTTAATACATAGATTTCTTTCATTAAAATCAAATACGTTGTTACATACACGAGCGAATTGAACAAGTTGAGATATATAAACACCATAAGATGGTGCCAAGGGAACTTCGCCATCTAAAAATGGATAATTAACAATAGGAAATGAAAACTCATCTCTTTTATCGTAAATTTTAGTGATAAGCTTCCCGTTAAAGATATAAATATCAAGATCCAGGAAAGGACAGTGTCCATTGTTAGTATTAGCTTTATTTAAAGCAAGATCAACAGGAAAAATCTCTTTAGTGTACATACTGAAGTCGTCATTATTGAGAGCCAATATATCATCCAAATATCTAAAAGTGTTATTAAATTTTTGTTTCGATAGGTTTTTGCTGATTTTAGTCATACAATGTAATTCGTAACAATACAGAAACAGGTCCGCAATAAGTTGTGCAGTTATTCTCCATTGGAATAACTTGGAAATATATCGAATCTCCATAGCGAACAAACATGTTATCAAGTAAAAATTCAGTGCAGTTATCATATCAAAGCAGGACAAAATTGACGTATTTCTTTTGTTTGTTGTAACTAAAAAAATGACATAAAAGAATTTGAACATATATATTCACATTCTGACATTTTATGTATTTGATTTTTTTCTTAATGAAATTATGAGGCGAAGTGGTATATAGGGTAGAAAAATTCAAACTTTGAACAAATTCAAAAGCACCAATATGAGCATGTAATTTATCAAGTACTTCCAACGAATTTTCGAAACACCAAAAGTAATTAATTTCACTATTTTCGCATACCTTATTTGAAAAATTTATTACCAGGTTTTTGATTGTACCAAGTGTACTTGTAAGTAGAATATACAATTTAGAAGTGGAACAATAGCTTGAAGACGAAATCAATCTATATGTATAAGGTGTTTTGCGCAGCTTCAGAAGCCAGTACCTAGTTGGAACTTTCATGTAATTCGGTTATGCTTGTAAAGAGGTAGCAAACAGTTTATGTTTGTTAACGGTGTCATTTTTCTAAAATTGAGTCAGTTGGAATGTTACTGTTAGTGAATTTGTGATTTCCTTTTGCACAACCTCAATATAAAATGATATTTTTGGCAGCCTAATCGGCCGGGACAAAAACAAATTTCTTGCCGAGTTCTTTTTGCTTGATACGAGAAATGGGGCTATTATGGTTGTTGTTAGGAGTAAAATAGAGTTTGTTGTAGAATATTTTCAATGTCTTAATCAAAACTACATCCGCATCTTGTAATCGCCGCCATCTACACATTTCATCGACGTGAAAAACACGTGCAAACTTTAAAAGAGTTATTTTCACTTCGTGCATATTCCCCAAAAAAAACCAGTTAATTGGCCTATGCTCCCACGAGAAATAGGGTTATTTTAAGTTCGTGCACATTATCAAACAGGTATTTTGCCAACGTGCAGTTTCCCGCGCTAAAAAAGGGTGGGGTGGGGTACTTTTGGTGATTATTTTATCAGTGGTTACTATAGTAAAATATAATAGTAATAATGATAATGAAAATAATAATAATGATATTAACTTTATTTAATATGATCACTTATTAAGTTTACACACTTGTCGAGATGAAAAGGGAGATGATTGATATCTTAATGCTCTTGTTTGCCAACGTGTGGAGTGATACTTGTAAAAATGTCTATGTATTTATCATATTTAAAGTCCAAAAGGAGGAGGCCCCCTCCCCCTCCCGAAATCCGCCTCTGATGTTGCAGAGTGATTCACTCAGAGTCCCTGATGATGTTTTGGTTTATTTAATTGCAGATTATCTGGTACATACGGTCATGTATCGACTGTTCAGCATCAACTTATAGAATGGTCTCAAAGGAAAGAACAGATAGAAAACACATTTTGTTGTGAAAAGAAGATTGATATCAATGACAATACTCCATGCATTTCAAAACAAAACACATGGAAACCACCTAAAAAGAAATCTGTTTTGCCTAAAACATGTATAGCTGACTACACATTTCATAAAAATCTATCTGTGTGGGAAAAACAGCCAATAAAACGGAAACAAAAACGGGATTACAAAACATTCAATTCAGACCAACCATTTACTGAAGAAAAAAACCAAGTAGAGTTCAGAATGTAGTTGATAAGTTACTGTCAGACAGGATTTGCCGTGTACAAACAATATTGCAACTAAAATATGTTAAGAAGAATTTTGTATTATTATTGAAACTATTTCTGTCCGATTATAACAATTTTACAGACTACACCTGTGAGACTGATTTTATATATCAACGATCCATCAAGAGAAAAATATGCATTTCAAATGAAGCTATAATGAGGAGTACCCCATTATCACAGTGCTTATATATTATTTACAGTCGACAGTCAACAAACAACAATATTACAGTCTATCAATCAATGAATAACTAAGTTTTAGTCGAGTTCCAAATTAAATCATCCTGAAATGGATTGCGATATATTCTAATCACGTGGGTATATTGATCTGTTTCTTTCTTTTCTTTTTCTGTTGCTGATTGTTATGTATGTTTTTGTTTTGCTTCGTGTCTGTTTCTTTTCCTGTTTTTTTTTAAATTTTCGCTAGTTTGTCTTTGTTTGTTTGTTTGTTTGTTTTGTTAGCATAACCTGTTTGCTTTTCAGTTTTCAGTTTAACTGTTTTGCAAGTAATTGGTTCTTATGACCAACATTTGTACAATGTATTCTTTATATTAGCTAATACTAGACAAAGACTGAAGTTTAAAGTATTATTTTTTCTGTTTAATGTATCAGATTTGAGATCTGTAGATTAACATATGCTGTACATTCCACAGATTCAATCTCCCCTTCAATTAACAAATCGACTAATCCAAACAGCAGCTCGTCGTCATACACACTGACGTCGATCACAGAATTGTTAGGGTCACCTTCTTCGACGTTTTGTAAATTTGCAATGGGCTCTTCAATACTAAATTCCTCTATGTATTCATCTTTGTTTTCTTTGCTTTCATTTCAAAGTTGCTTGCAGAACTTTTCAATAAGCACTTTACGGCGAGCGACAAGTATTGGATCAGCAGTTTTGACAAATGCACGTTCGTAAGGTAAGCAATGTTTTGGATATGTATGGAAGCTAGTTGAAATGAAGATATCGGAATTCTTCTGGTTAAGAATCTGTAAGATTTAATTCGACCTATGGCATGTTCTACAAAAATTCGGGTAGATGCCATACCCTTGTTTTTTCGACCTGCTGTGAGTTGAATTGTTTCTTTTTTTATTTGCAAACGGTGGAACCAGAAGTTGTGCACCCTTTTCCTGAAATTGTCTCTGAAGGGTGAAACCTTTGTCGGCCATGTATACCTCGACAGATTTAACATTACCCAACAGGCCTTACTTTTTGGCACATTTCAACATCTGTTGTACTTTCAGAGAAGAGGTCGGACACCAAATGATAAGGAGCCCCTTAACATAAAGTGCAACCAACTAATACATTTGCCGTTTGACGACTCCAATATTCGGACCAAAATACCGACTGTTTATTTAGTCCACTAGGCTCATCTACCTCGAATTCTGTGCAGTCCAAAATCTTAACGCGGTTCTGAAATTTTTGAAGTATATCTCAGGCGGATCTGGGGGACATAATGTCTGGTATTCATCCATTGTTGGGTTCATATTAATTTTTGAAAATATTGATTTGATGTGACAGGCCCATTTGACAAAACACACAGTAGACATTGAAACATTGAACAAAGAGGAAAGAACGGTTTCACTTATGTCTTGCGTAGCCTTAACAAATACATAAAAAAACTGATCTTGTACTGATAAAGCTCTGTGTCTACCTTAATTTCCATTCGAAATTCCTTTTTATAAGACCAATACTGAATCACTGTGCTTAAAATTGTCATAGTCTGAAGAGTTTATTGTTGAGTACTTTTTTTTTCATTTGATAAAATTGTGTAGATGTATTTTTCTTGGAGTTTGTTCTGTTCTATGTCCTTTTCTGTGGGTTTTGATTGACAAGCGTCACCAGAAGGCAGTGAAGGTAATTACGAATGACTATCATCGTCAATGAAATTTAAAATATCATCTGCAACTTGGCTATCAAGCCATACTTCAGAATTTTTTTTCTACTTTTAGGGTTATACTTTTACTTTTTTTTTAACATTGTGTACCCATTGAGAGGTCGGAGATACCGTTACTGAGAACTTTTTCACCAGTGAAAAAATGTTCAGAACAAATTCTTGTTGACGTATATACGTTTTCCTCCTTTTTATTTAAGGCATGCATGTAACCACTTTTTCACGGATAAAACTTGGGAGGGATTATTATGAACCTAATGTATAACCAATTTTATCTGAATGAAGATTTATCCTTATAAGGATCAAAAATTGTTTTTCAAGAAAGATGCAATGAAACGCTAACCCAAAATATTATAAAAGCCGGAGAGGTGGTTAATACCAAAACAAAGTGATCCAATGTTTACAATTTGTCATTGCTCGTCATTCAGAAACACTGAACCAAATCATGCCGAGACGTAAATAGTTATTCAAGAAATACCGTTAACTCCAAATAAAAACAGAATACCAAAAGACGATATTAGTATAATAAATATTGTACAAGTTTATCTGTACATCTGTATTTTAAATATATTTTTAAAAAACATTTCACAATCTGCTATTTGAAGATGCCTAGCCTAGAATGTGACCTACCGAATTAGACTTATTACCGGGTTTGTACTACATGAGCAACACGACGGGTGCCACATGTGAAGCAGGATCTGCTTACCCTTCCGAAGCACCTGAGATCACCTCCAGTTTCTGGTGGGGTTCATGTTGCTCAGTCTTTAGTTTTCTATGTTGTGTTTTGTGTACTATTGTTTGTCTGTTTGTCTTTTTCTTTTTTAACCATGGCTGTTGTCAGTTTATTTTCGACTTATGAGTTTGAATGTCCCACTGGTATGTTTTGGCTCTCTTTTAATGGATATGATTCAATCAATGCATTAAACAATAGTAGCACGACGGGTGTAACTCGTGCAACAGGAACTAATGTCCATCCAGGAGAAAACGAGTACTCACCTGACTTTTGGTTCGGTTCGTGTTGGTTAATCTTTTATTATTCTAGTTAATGTTTTGTTTTTATTGTTATCTTTTCGACGTTAATTCTTTTTGGCCGCGGTGTTGTCTGTTTTTATTGGACTAGTGATTATGAGTATATTCCCTCTCTCTTTTTATAGATATATGGCTGATTAAAGGATAAAAGATATACAAATTACTTGTTTTTAAACCAGTGATTTCACATACAGAAATTTATTGATAATATATAGATTATGACTTTTTGTGTTAATAAAGTAGTATTTTTCTTTTTAATAAAATATATACAATGCGTACATTATCAATAAGTAAAAACCATTTTCTTAAAAATTATTTGCAACTACAACATTTTTTTGAAATCAACAAGCACATTAAAGTCTCTTATTTAAAAAAAAACAAACTAAAACAGTCTCCATAAACTTTTGACGAAGTGTTTAACACGAATCTCGTATTTACTTCAGTTTTGCAATTGTAAGACACGACCCTTCTCTACCTACCATCATGCGTGTTTTGGTTTGTACCCATACAGTATCGCCTACTTTTAACTCAACGGCAACAACAGCTGTAGCTGTTCCAACATTGGTTCCGGCATCACCATCGTACATAACATATGCACTTGCTAAACTTTTGCCGTTATAGTATATTGCGAACTGGGCTCGATTTGTATGCGACAAAATCCAGGAAGAAACTAGATAGAGCCCCTCTTTCTCAATTGTAAACTTGCCACTATTTCGGAAAGAGGATAAATTAGAAATGCCAGTATGTGTTTTGATATCATCAAATTTCACAACAGAACCACTGGATAAGAAAAGATGGGAAATAAGACATGCTGTCATGGCCACTGAAAAATAAATGAAAACAATTAAAAGACAATTTGTTCTCTGTATAATCGGTCATTGTCTTACTCGAAATGACTTTTATAAACGTTTGCGCTGACAGACAAATCAAGCATTTTACATGTTTTATGATTTATCTCTTGGTTTCACCATTTGAAAAACATAAAATATAAAGCGATGTTAAATCTTTTGAAAAAAAACATTATAATTTGCACGATTGATTTAGCAATGTCAATCCTTAAGCTCATTTTTTTTCGGACTACATATATTGGTTTGGTAACTAGACAGAAGTGTCGACTGACAGGGTCGGTTTGTGGCCAGGATGACAAAGTTCTTTCAGTTGAAATGGTTCTTAAGTAATAGCAGTTAGGAAAAAAAAAAACGGATGTTAAGTAGTTTTTTGTCAACAAGAAGTAATTCTATTTTGGTTATAATTTACCAATTAAAAGTACATATTCTTCGTAAACTTATCACTGAAAGACACCTTTATAACGGGAAGTGAGTGATTTTACAATCAGATATGTCATTTTGTCATATTTAAAATTGTACCCAATGATAATACAAATACGTGTTTCCCTGAACCCAAATTGTGAAGTTGCTGGAGAATTTTAAACAATAGGCTGCTAAACTTTGCCGTTTTGAAAATTATTTTTAACTTTTATTGCATTAAGTTATGTATATATTATATAGCTGGTCCCTTTTGCTGTCTCTTTCAATCTTTTATAGTTTTTAAGGAAAATATATAAAATGCAAAACTTTTTAATAATTTTCATTAAATTATATTTACTTTTACAATGCGACGATTTCGGGCATGTTTATTTTTTCTTGCTACTAAACGGCTCTCTCTTTGTGTTGAATATTGCAAGATATTTGCCAAAATTAACCAGCAAAATTTAGGTAACAATTGTTATTTAAGCACAGTTACTCATATAAGGAGTCGATTGAAAATTATCTTTATTGTCAATACTTTGTATATCATATCGTGCTGAACATTTATACTGTTTACAAATTCTCTTTGTCAATTATAATCTGGGGAAAAAATTACTCCTATAAGGCGTCGACGGACGATTCAGTCATGTTAACTTATTTGTAGATCTTATTTTGCCAAGCATTTTACTTATAACAGTTTCTCTTTTTCAAATTTAGTTTCCACAAAAATACCCCACAAAATATTGGTGCACATCGTCAAATAAGAAGAAATCCCATGAAGATCGATTTACGATTTTTGTCGTGTTATCATATTTTGCTGAAGTATGGTTTCCTATAAAAAAAAAACAATTTGGTAAAATCATTACTCACGAGTAATAACTCCTTTAAGTTTTCATGTTGGCTTATTTATATATCTTGTCTAGCTGATAAATTTTGCCGTTTAAATCTATAAAAGTTTTAAAATCTTTAATATAAGAAAAGCGAAGAAGGGTAAAAAATAATTTCATTTAAGGGCAATAACTAATATAAAGAGTCAACTGACCATTTCACTCATTTGGCTCAGTTGTAGATCTTTTTTGCTTATCATTTTTGTTCTTAAAGTTTTTCTCTATCTATTTTATTTTTCGCGCACAGCAGAATAAATTGCTTTAGTCGTATTTGGTACGACTTTTCGGAGTTTTCTGTTTTAATGCTCTTCAACATCGTTTTCGTTTTTAATATGGTTTTCCAACTGTTTTAATTCGAGCGTCACTGGTGAGATTTATGTCGATAAAACGCGCATCTGGCGCACACATTTATAGGACTGGTATCTTTGGTGAGTTTTCATATGGAAAGGTTCAAGCGTCAGTGTTCACAGTGATTGTCAACTTCCTAAGTAAACTATTTAAAATGCTTTCCCTTTGAATTTATAGATAGTTGAAATAACAAACATGAAGGGAACTAGCCATTATTTTGTTTTGATTCTTAAAATTACCCATTTTTTAAAGCTGATAACAGTACATAATGTTAAATCGCTTATCAGTTGAAATGGAAAATAAGAACAAATTAGGTTTCCAAAGCGGAAGTCACACACTTTTACCCATAAGTTATTCTTGTAAAGTACAAAGTCAGTTTTGGAAATTGTACTAGATTCCTATATTCATAAGTTTGTTTAACATTATAAAGGGAGTAACACTACTTAAAGTCACAAACCTCTAGCACTGTTTCTAGCAATCTGTTGTTGCAGTTTACCAATACGTGTGTTTACATCATCAGTTTCGTTCAGATTATCCATGTTCGTGTTTTGTTGAGCTACGGAATCCTTCAAGGCCTCATGAATTTCTGCAAAAAAACACATTATGAATTGTTTGTATTCTAACAAACTCGTTGTTTTACTGATGTCGGTTGAGAAAGGGTAAATACCAAACATGCTTCAAACGGATGTCTATAATTTGAATTATCATTCTAGACGAACTTATCTTTAAAAAATATGATTTGATATGCTAACAGATATAGATAAGTATGGCTAATTTTGTTCATATGAATATTCTGTTAGAGGGAATAAATAACACTTTCATAATGGTTGCAAAAATAAGGATATATGTAATGTAATCTACAATTAACACGCATAACTTGGTGACTTCATGCCAAAATTATATTCAATTCGTAAATTACATGTTGCATTATCGATTTGTCAAACATGCCTCACATACACGTGGTAAATGCATTAGCGTCTTCCAATTATGGTCATTAAGAAACATATAGGTGCATTTACTGCATTTGGGTTGCTAATCTTCTATTGATATAGTACTTCACTTGTCTTAATATCTTTTAAAATGACTAAGTTATGTTTATTTAAATATGAACACCCCAAAACTGTCTTATAAAAAAAAGTCCTATCATAATGTGAATAGATTTCGAAGGTAAACTAAATGATAGAATTTTTAAATAAATTATGAGAATATAGCTCGTATAAAATGCTTTCAGAATCTCAAAAGAAAGTAAGTTTTTTCCTGCTATAACATAGACGCCTGCTAAACAAACTACATCATTACGGAGTTACAGGACATACACCCAAGTGGATTCAATAATTCCTAGCTAAACATACCCAACAAGTCATCGTTGAGGAAGAATCTTCAGAGAAAGTTCCTGTGGTCAGTGAAGTCTCACAAGGGACTGTACTCAAGCCCTTACTATTCCTTCTTTTTATCAACGACTAACCTGACAACATAACATCTAACACACGACTAATTGCAGACGATTGCATAGTATATAAACAACACATCTCCTGTGGATACTAACATACTACAAGGAAATCTTTACAAAATTGCAGAATAGGAGAAAACCTGGAGGCATGGACTTTCACCTACAGAAGTGCACTGTACAAACTACTACCAGATCATGCTCATCAATAAAACACTCATACATGCTTAAGAGACAATTGCTGGAAAGATCAAGAAGTACAAATAACTTGGGATTGACATCGAATCGGACCTGTACTCAGTGTACTGGAAACCACACATCGATAGAGTAACCAAAAAAGCAAAAAGCATGCTAGGATTTCTAAAACGCAATTTAAGAACATTTCGGTACTGACATGATTTATAACAAACCTTTCTAAAATTGTCCGTTTATAAATTTTGAAATTATAAAGAAACTAAGGTTTCAACTCCCTCAGGCAAAGTTGAGCTTAGATGGATTTGGCTATTTTTCAGGTATTTTTTGACATATAGCTCTTCAACAGTTGTGGTTCTAATACATCCTCGGCTTTCAAATATTCGGCTTTGAGCGTTCCTGGTGAAGGTAAATCCAGAAAAGCGCTTCGGACGCTTGAAATTATTTAACGTGTTGTTTTAATTTTCTAATAGTGAAACGAAGACAAACGCCTATTTTGCAATGGTCAGCTCCAACTTAGACTACTTTACAACAGTATGGAACCCTTACCAAACAGAGCAGGTGAAAAAAGTTGAAATGGTCCAGCCCGTTACGCAATCAATTGCTATAGGAACACCAGTAGTGTGGGTAGCATGTTGGAAGAACTTGACTGGAAATCAAAAGACAGAGAAGTGACGCTACAACTAACCTTAAAGTTATAGATATTTCATATCTTTTGAATAATTTTGTGGTGTTTCGTAAATTATACCATAGCTTTTGTTGAAAACCCCGGCAATAACCTCACGAGACGAAGTCGAGTGAGGTTGCCGAGGGGTTTCAACAAAAAACTATGGTATAATTTACGAAACACCACAAAACTAACCAAAATATATGAAATATCTGTTTTAACCTATTGCATATATTGTTGTTTAAAAATGTGTATTTCATATATTTTTGTTTATTAACTTCAAAAATAATTTTGATAAGAATCGATCAAATTACCCTTTTAGGACCTTACACATTAAGCTCCGCCTACTTTCCAAAATACGCACGGGCTTCTGAAACAGCGGGAAAATCAGTTGGACAGGATTTTTCGACAGCGATGGATACACATCTACATTGGTGACGGGTAACGTTACAGACTAAAAACTGTTGAAGGAATTATATGTTCTGCATATGGACGCAATATATAGTTTGAAAGATTTCTGATACCCAGATTTAAAGTTGAACTGCAAAGGGTTAGTTTTTTTTTTTATTTTATCAAAATATTTGAAACGTTTTTAAGTTTTTGGTATTAATTTATAATTCTGTGGAAATTTAATTCACAATCATCTTTCTGAGAGTTTGGATGAATCATTCCATGTTTTACTTTGTACCAGAAGCCCAAGTTGTACATTTGATTTAATTTAATTCAGAAGGATTTCAAAATGATCACGATTAAAGATCATTAAAAATCACATGCAGACTATAATAGATAATTTAAACAAAAAGTTCACCTTTATTTAAAGTAACCAGACGCTTTCTATTCTTAACGGCCCAACATTATAGGTATTACTTAAGCAAATCGTTAAATTAAGATGTATATAAAATCGGATACGGATCCAGGATTTTGAAAAGCAGGGGGGTCTAGCCATCCAACATTTGGAGTAATAATACGAAATATCTATGCATTTACCATATATAAAGCTTCTTAAAAGGGGCATGCCTTCCCCCTCCCTCCCCTTAAAAAAGCCGCCACGGCAAATTTCAACCTTTACATGTAGTTATACAGTTGAGCCTAAGGGACTACAATCCAAGTATACATCTCAATAACCGAAAATCGAATTATATTTTCAAGTATATTATAATAATATATTTATATATACTTTTTTTTAAAACTTTGTTCTTGAATCGAATTTTCGTTCATTTAAAAATATAGGACAACGGAGTTGGTGTATGTGGGTTCGATTCCCACCCTAGGCATTCATTTATATCGGCTGGTGCAAAGCGGGCAGTTTAGCTTAGTGGCCCCACACTGACTCTGTTGTTCCTATTTCAAAAAATTCAGGCGGCCTCGGATAGGCCTTGCTATCTTTCTTTTTTTCTTTTCGAATACCAAATACAACAAAACCATGGTATAATTGTGAAAATTATACCATAGATAGCTATGGTATAATTTTCGATTATTGAGATTTATACTCTTGTTGCATTCCCATAGGTTACATTGTACAGCTATATAAATTGGTTAATGATCGTGTGGATATACCATGCGACAATTACCTAACACCAATGTCAGCAAGAACAAGATCATCACATACCAAGACATACCAGCAATACTCAACCAAGATTAATGGCTTCAAATACAGCTTTTTTCCAAAAACAGTGACCGCTTGGTACTCTTTATTAACAAGAGTAGCTGAGGCTCCTTCCTTGGCATCCTTCAAGAGGGAGCCTTCAAAACTCTCTTTCTAGTCTGTTCAGTCCCCCATTTGCCAAGTTAGTCAAATGATGGACTGGAGTGGGCCGGCGGGTATTATTTCCCTGGTACCGCCACGGAAGCCGGATTGGTTCAGGCCAGATGAACGAAAAGCAAATGGGTACCCCCTTTCTTTATTTATTTTTCTTTATTATTTCATATCATACATATATACTTGCTTTAAATATTTTTGGTTTTACCTTATAAAATACTCGTTTTCTTGCACCTACCGAAAGCGTTGAGTATTGGTCAGAATTGACAGTTCAACGTACGATGTACATGTAGATGTAGACATACAATAGAAAAATTTCCTGAAGATTCCTTTATAAATTATACTTTTTCTAAATTACCTCCCCTTAATAAAAAAAATCTAGACTTATCATGTTCTGCTATTTTACAATCCAAGATGGCAGAAGACACCCATACCACATTAAGTTTTGATTTCGTATTTCGTATTTTTACTTTTTTATTAGAATTAAAAATGTATTTGTTTCGTAGCATTGTTTTCTATCTAGTTAGAATGAACATGTGAGCCTACGTCACATCATGTGATATAGCAAACATTTTACTTCCTGCACGAAAGATCAGTTTTCAAAAAAGCCGTTTGTGTGCTCTAAATAAAACGTACAAAAACTTGTAAATTGATTTATCAAGTTTCCAAATAGAAATCAATACATGCATGTACGGAATCGATTTTACATAAATTACATTTGACTAACAGAAAAATATACTTTTCCAAGGAACAGTCAATATTCACTTATTAATCTTTTTAGAACATGCCTTATTACTATATCAACTTATACTTTTTTTTTAAGTCCACATCTTAAGCTTTTATTATATCAGCATTCCATGAAAAGTTAAGAACTTACATCAGTAAGTATTTTACAAAAAGTTACTGTAGATTTAATTAAATTCAATGAAATTGGATATTTCAAAGGTTTGAAATTGCCCCAAACGTGTATGAGTGGTCAATGTGTTCATCTAATAGAATTGTTGAATATACCTGCACGCGGCTGTGTGTTACAATATTGTGTTTCCGATTCCAAGACATTTCCAGTGCTGTTTAGTCTATGTCTACTTTGTATTCCTATTTCCCATGTCTTCGAACAGGATCCCCCAGGGACACCTTGATAAAATCAGCATTATCATACAAAAAATGAAGAATTAAGCACATAATTTAGAAGGCTTTATAGGTTTGAAACACTTTGTCATATTTTAAATAATGTATACAAAGTGTTGTTTTCATTTACTTGTCCTGTGTCTAAACCTCTGCTGGTGGACTGATGAGGGGCCTGATGGGGGGGGGGGGGGTCTCATCACGATTCACGAGTTAATTTTTTTGTCAATCACGATTCACAGAAAATAAATTTCCATGATAACGGATCACGAAAATATAAAAAAAAAATAAATCTGTAGAAAAACGGATCACGATAGCGAAAATGCGCCGATCACGAAGAACGAAAATAACCCATCAGGCCCCTCACTGATGGCATCATCAGCTCAGTTGACGGATACGCGGCAATCCCACTGGCATGGTTCAATATTTCAATATCAACAGAAAATACTTACGAAATGCTTTCACTTTAATACTGAAGTCATTCCTTGGGTTGTACAGCTGTGCTGGAGTTATTACCTCAAATGTAACGATTCCATATGTGGAATACAAAATACCTGTGTTCTTGGTTGAACAGGAAAATCTTTTCTGAAATTAGTAATCAATATACAATTAACACACGATGAACAGGAAAAATTACACCTTGAGATATTAAAATGGATAGAAGAATTACGAAATTACAATTTGAAACAATCAAATGAGCTGGGGGAATTTATGAAATTTTACATGAGACAATTCTTTTATCATTGTACATTCAATGTAAATGTATGGTGACGTAATAAGGGTCAATGTTAATGAGACAGCAATCAAACAAAGAAAGTTAATCAAAATAGAACTATGTATGCACAGAAGGTGATACAGTTAAGAATTTAGTTCTGGTTGTGATTTTTACCAGGAATATTGATGATTGTGGGTGAAGCACTCTGAAATATCTGTTTGTGTATTCCATAGGTATTATTTAAGAATTGAATGCTTCTTTTTGTAAATTCATTGGGTGTAAAAGCGTTGACCGAAGTACATTTTGTATGAAGCGCGGAAGCGCTTCATTCTAAAAATGTGCGCATGGTCAACGCTTTTACAACCCAATAAAATTACTAAAAGAAGTATTCAATACTTATAATTACATTTTTTGCTAAGATCATGAAAACACGATTTCTATCAAGTTTTTCTTTTATTTACCTGTGCACTTTATTGTGGAAGCTCGTGTCGTCATGAATGTTACATCTCATTTTGAAATGAAGGTTAATTTTAGAATGACGCGAGATTGCTGTTAGCCAATAAAAATAACGTATTATAATGAAACAGACATGTAATGTAATTATTAATATATATTTTATAAGCAGTACTCTGTCAGTTTCTGTTAACTCAGTAATTCTGCACATCTTTTAAAAATATATCTTTTAAAGTGCATAAAATTTGAAATGCAATTATACATTTGTTTTGAATATGTGCGGATAATATACATTTCCTTGTAATAATATACCCCACTCTTCCTACTATAAATAAAACACCTACCAGAGCAGTTCCTCCTGGTAAAGATCCTCCATAAATATTCAGTTTAACTCCACAATCCTTGATATCGACCATTTGCCGAGTGATCTGTATTCCGTAATATGAATCTGTGTAACCAGAACGAATCGTAATAACACAACGGTAATTCGGGTTGGAAGTTGTCAAATTTGCTCCAGCATTTATAACATATTCCCTATCATAAATATCAATTGCTTTCCCACAATAGACATCACTGTCCATAGTTACTGAAAAACATTTATTATAACAATACATTAAACAAAACATAAAGAATATAGAACATTGATGAAACACCTATACAACCTGCAAGACAGTAAAATCTATATTCTCCCTTTTTTGGTGTTTTTATACAAGGGTCAATCAGATGGAAGTTACTAGTAAGAATCATTTAACCCAAATGTGGGTTAAATTGTCTTGTGCAATTAATCAGTTATTCCAGGTGTTGTAATTGATACTGCAGTGTCCCCCCCCCCCCGAGATTTATGTATCATGGTGCTATAGGGCCATGAGAACAGAGGCGGAACGGCACATTGTATACAGCATCTTGATTTGTGTTATCATTATCCATCCTTTGCAGTGGTGATATGTCATCGATTACAAAAAATTCTTGTTGTGAACATCACTTAAAAATTTGTTGAAGGGATTATAAACATAATCAGTAATATACAAGAAGTAGTTCTGACTATACAATCTACATGTACACAATATATATGAATGTATGAACAGTTGTTTTACTAATATACTGTACGTTTCACTGTTCGTCACTTGTAAATTTTTGAAATGTTAGCAAAAATATGTGCCATGTATATTTTTACATTTGAATGCATGTCCCTTTAGTATCTTTTGCCTCTCTTTTACAGAGGTTGAGTGAAAAACAGTTTCTTTAATGATAAATTTTGCCCTAAATGAATATTTAATACAGTAAATATTTGAAATGAAAGTGATTTTAACCATCAATAAATCTTTCTATGTAAAACTTGTACGAGAAATATTTTCTTTGATTACAAAACACTGTTTATTCGATTTAGAGACATTAATAAATCAACCTTTTTTTATTTTAAATTTTTTGAAGGGAAGCTGAAATCGTACCATGTGGCAGGAAAAGATTTGCACACAGCACCTAGCCTGTAGCAACTTCTCTAGGTCCTTTCTCGCCCCTTAGGATACAAAATCCATTATCAGTGTTTCCAATTATGAAGAAATGGAAACCAACTGAGTAAAATGTGAAACCCAGGTTGAGTATGTAAAGTGCAAATTTTTGTCAGTACAGCAATAACAGATTTTGTTACATTTTTTTAAGGTAACGTATCTATTCAAATAATTTTAATTGAAATTTTCTGCAAAACATGACAAACTTGGGTAAAAGGGAAAATACAAAATTTCATAATTAGAAATAAGTCCACATCTTAATATTTATTGGTTCATTAGATATTTTTCACAGTGTAAGGATCAAGTCAGTTCATCTAACATTTCTCCAATAAAGGTTTAGTGTTAACTTACTAGTAAGCTGCGCATGAACACTTCCTAATATCACAGAAAACAGCCATATCACTGTCCCAGCTGTATACATCATCATTTGTTACAATATATTCCTATAAGAAACAGAATTCTTCAATTCAACAAAATTAATACAGGTGTGCTAGATTTATTCATTAACAGAGTTATGTCCCTTGTAAAAAATGTGCAGAAAAGGTATTAGGCTTGGAAATATTCAGTACGGTCTTCTGATTCTAATAACTTACTTTAATTTTCACTGCAATGGCCTAAATTGTGAATATAAAACTGTTGTGGGGCTTGTGCCTATTTAAAACTTGACAAATTGAAATAACAGTTTAATTATCATCATACAATGTATGTACATGTATCAATTGCAATACCAAAAAATAACTCTCAGTAAGCTTCACTTTTATTTTAGCCATTTTGTAATATGTCAAGAAATAATTGTCCTTTGAATACTTTTTAGCTCACCTGGCCCAATGGGCCAAGTGAGCTTTTTTCATCACTTGGCGTCCGTCGTCCGTCGTCGTCGTCCGTTTACTTTTCAAAAATATTCTCCTCTGAAACTACTAGGCTAAATTTAACCAAACTTGGCTACAATCATCATTGGGGTATCTAGTTTAAAAAATATGTCCGATGACCCCGCCTGCTTATCAAGATGGCCGACATGGCTAAAAATAAAACATAGGGGTTACAATGCAGGTTTTGTCTATTGATTTGAAAACTGTTATAAATAGATAAAATCTGACTGGAGCAAAAATGTTCAGAATGTTGAGCACTACCAATTGTCCGTATATGTCAAAACGGTCAGACGACTTTTTATAGGCGTTATTGCCCTTAAATGACAAATTTTACCATTTTTTCATTTTTCCTACTATCTTGAAAACTATAAAGATAACGAGAAACTTTAAATTGCAAAAATGATCAACAAGACAAGTTCTACAAATAATTCTCATGGTCGAAATCGTCAGTCGACTCCTTATTAGAGTTATTGCCCTTTGATGACAGTTTTTACCATTTTTTTGTGTTTTTGCCTTACATCTTAAAAACTATAATAGATAGATCGAAACTTAAATAAGAAAAATTATCAGCAAAACAAGATCTTCAATTAAGGTGAATGGAGGAAATCGTCCGACAACTCCTTATTGTCTGTTAACTTTTACAAAAATCTTCTCCTCTGAAATTACTGGGTCAAATTTAATTTGGCCACAATCATCATCGGGTTATCTAGTTTTAAAAAATGTGTCCAGTGCGGATATTCTTTATGTTTTGCCTGCCTACCAAAATGGCCCACATGTCTAAAAATAGAACATAGGGGTAAAATGCAAGTTTTGTCTATTATTTTGAAACCGTTATACATAGAGAAAAACGTTCAGAATAATGAGCTTTACCAATTGTCCTTATACGTCAAAACTGTCAGATGACACCTTATAGGAGTTATTGCCCTTAAATGACAAATTTTACCTTTTTTTCTTTTTTTGCCTATTATCTTGAAAACTATAACAGATAAAGAGAAACTTTAAATAGCAAAAATGATCAGCAAGACAAGTTCTACAAATAAGTCGAATAGTAGAAATCGTAAGTTGACTCCTTTTTATAGTTATTACCCTTTGATGACGATTTTTACCATTTTTTTTTGCGTTTTTACCTTATATCTAGATAGATAGAAACTTAAATAAGCAAAAATTATCAGCAAGACAATATCTACAATTAAGAAAAATGGAGGAGATCCTCTGACGACTCCTTATTGGAGTTATTGCCCTTTAAAGACGATTTTCATCATTTGTTTGCGTTTTGCCATATATGATAAAAAAATTTATAATAGATAAATAGACACTTTAAAACACAAAAATAATCAGCAAGTCAAGATCTACTAACAAAGCAAATTTTGCCGATATAGTTAGTAGACTGTCACTCTCTATAGGAGTGATTGCCCTTAAATGAGGATTTTGTTTACCCTCTTTTGTGTTTTGAGCAAAAACTAAAGAAGATAGAGAGAAACTAAACAGACTAACTAATCAGCAATACAAGATCAACAAAACAGATTTTTGCCATGAATTCTATTCTCGTCTACAATGTTGGAGAGTGTCCTTTGTTGAATACGCATATAGACCAAGGTGAGCGACACAGGCTTTTTAGAGCCTCTAGTTTTATTAACATATTTCCATTTCATGGATGTACTTGAATGAAATTTAAAACCAAAGTTAAAACGGAAATTTCTACAAGGCTAATACCGCTATGGTGGATAGAAAAATTGAATAAACAGTAAAATTTACTTATTAACCTTCTTTGAAGGTTTTTTTTTGCAAGGCACAACCACGTAAAAGGATTATGAGGTTTTCATGATCAGTAGACGAAAGTACAATTAATATAAAAACTTGAAATAAACAGATTTGTGGTACCAGAAATTTAACTACCATGGGAGATTACTCTTCATTTCAAAAAGACAATTTAAATAAAGTTATATGTAGTTTTTGCCGTGTGAAAAATTTGAAATATTAACTATATTCCAAATTTTCTGATAACATACAAATGGAAATGGCCTAATTTTCTATACAAAAAACAGTTTTTACTTTTAAATGTAGCGACAAAAAATAACGGTTAGGGATTATCTCAACCTCTTTACCTCGATTGAAACCCCATATTTCCGAAGCATAACTAAGAACTGATGCCACTATACTGTGAAATAGTTCAGGTTGTTTCTGGTTTAACAAGTACAAATTTTTAACTGAGTTTAACAATGATTATATAGCTCGTGAACCCTGTTGAGACACACCTTTTTGGATCTGTAAAAACTTTCCATTAAAATAAATCAGCATACCTAGATGTACAATGTACCTCTTTATTGGTGTTTAAAAAAAACAAAACATTTTCTGGTTGCCTTCCATTCTAAGTACACAAATTTTGTTTAGTCAGTAATCCCTTCAATGTTCCAATTATTACTATATATTAACAATTGATTGAAAAGATCTTGCAATAATTCTGGTGATTTCCAAAACATTGTCATCCACAAAAGAATAAAAAATATCAGAATATCATTCACGGTACAGCATTGTTCGGTACATCAAAATGTATGTTCTCTTAATTCATTAACAAAGAATAAATATACGACAGTGGGAAAGCCAGTGACATTGAAGAGTTCCTTCCGGTGGTCACGCGGGAAAGGGGACATAATCTAAAAATTTCGTGGTGGCGCTGTAATCAGCGTGTAAACAAACACATAGCCTGTGGTACACATAGCCTGTCTTTCAGACAATAAATCTATCAAAACAACTTAATATTTATTTAACAGTATTTTTGGTTGAATTTTCATCATACTAGATTTCATCACACGACTGCAAAACAAATACTAAAATAACTGCTTCGTTATTGAAATTTGATACATCAAGTGACGACCTCTGTTCTTCACATAAACGGTTGGTAGTAGTTTTGGAATTCACTAAATTGGGATAAAATTAAACTATAAAACCATGCTCACAGGTTTAACTGTTTAACTGTTCAAGACAATCAAACGCAATTGTTTTATACAACCGTAAAAAGTATATTAAAATATAGATGATAATATTGACAGGCCAAAGATAAAGCGTTTTCAAAATTAAAATCTCACGCTGGGACAGGGCGTTGATTTACATGTGGTCTATGGAATACTGGATTTCAGCTTCGAAAAGGGGTCAATATATAGCCATATCCGATCTGATCTATCAAAATAATTTAAGGGATATTGCTAAGACCTTTCTTCATTTGAAATACTGAATTATAAGGTAATGATAATTGGATTTTGTGAGCTCAGCAACCTACTTTTATGTGGATCTGTTGAAAAATGGAGTTGAATGATGCGCTTCCTTTTCGCAACCTCAGTTGAAATTTGACACGGAGTAATGGGTTTATTATCCATATATTTGGGTACTCCCATCATTATAGATTTAAATATCAATAAGGATGCAAATGTGTCAGCTATTTTCAGCTATTTAATTGTCTTTAATAATTTTTTTTTTTGAAAAATCACGCGTACACAACTCGATGTAAACAAATTACCGAGATGGTGCGATACTGTCGTCGTCTTTGTAAAATTTGCGATTGTCGCCACTGGAATCATGTCCGTTACGAAATGTAAAAGGAGGCGCATAACTGATGCGTGACTTTCCCACTGAACATGCTTTCAAGTTAAGTTATATTACATGGATTAACTGTATACCGCTATCTAAGATTGTAAAATAACACAATCGGTCTAGTTTTTTGTACTTAAATCTGCAAATTTTGAGACAATTTGGCAAATAATGTGTAAGACTGTTTATTTGAATAAAGAAAAATCAAGTGCTTTATTGCATTACTTAGACTGTTTTAATAATTAACAAATATTTGTTTTTGTTCGAATCAACTCTTCAACTTAGTCATATAAGGGGAGATACCTCTAATAGTAAAAAGTTTCTATATGAACGTTAAAGAAATTGTCATTTTTTACTTGTCCGAGAAAAAGAAAGCAAGAAGCAAGAAAACAAGTTAAGTAACACCATTTGTTATTTTTATTTTCTTAACGCATATCATAAAACCCATCTTCTCATATTTTATTTATATTCTATCTCATAGATTTATTTGTACTCACTAAAATGTGTTTTTCATGAATAATCTATGCCAATTTGGTTAATTTTGCACGCCGTCGCTCGCACCATATACTGTGCCCTAGCCCACTCGGCCACCTTTCCGACGAAGTTTATTATACTGTATTGTTAGCCCTGGATAACGCCAGGATATCCGATCTACGGCTTGAAATATGATATAAAAAAATAAGGAAATGTGAAGTATTTTCAATGAAACAACTATCCAACGGAGACCAAGAGACGAGGATTTAAATAACTAATAGATATTGTATAGTCTTCAACAATGAGCAAATCCCATACCTTATTGATAAAAAATGCCGCGGTATGAAAAATTGAAAAAAGAGAAAAACAAACTGTATGATTAATGGTTAAAAATATTAACGAAACATATGTAAGACAATAACCAAGACAACCACTGATTAACAGGCTCCTGAAATGTATCAGTCACACGTGGTGGGGATAAACATATTAGTGAGAACTCAACCCTCTCCCTATCTTGGACAGTAGTTTTACAGCACAACAAAAGAAACAATCTGAAAGAATTGATCTTGAAAAAGCTGCCTCTTCCGATATAAACACGTTTTTATTGTTAAAAATGTATGTCAAGCTTTCAGTTGGATGCTTTTTGTGTTCTTTCGTAAGGACGGTGCATTATAAATGTATTCCCGTACATTCTTTATTTACAAGAAATGTCGAAATGTCGATCAATGTTAAGGCATTTCTTGGCCAAAATTTTGTATAACCGTGACTTTTAATAGAGGTTGTGAACAATATCAGTAAAAGCATAGAACAGTACACACAAATATTATTTGAAAAACATTCTTGTTATTATCTCTAAAAATACTTACATAAAATTATAACAGCTCGTAAAACCGACACATCTAGCATCGATACAAAGTGGACTCTGAATGACTATTTTATTGAAACAACAATGTTTTATATACAAAACCTATATCCTTGCCGTGTATATTTGCGTCCATTCGTTTTTCATTTTGAAATATCAAAAACAAAAAACAAAAAACGAGAGTATTTTCATTTTTCGTTTTTGATTTCTCAAAAACCAAAATGAAAAACCAAAGTGTTTTCGTTTTTCGTTTTTGATTTCTCTAAAACCAAAACGGAAAACGAAAGTGTTTTCATTTTTTGTTTTTGATTTCTCTAAAACCAAAATGAAAATCAAAAGTGTTTCCGTTTTCCGTTTTTGATTTCACTAATGATGAATTGTGTATGTAATTTTAATTATTTCTTGTTTTATTATGTACACTGTTTTCCTTTCTTGCTTCACAGTCATTGATAGTAAATAAGGTCAATGTAAGCACCCCGGTGTTTTTTCAACATAATGTAGACAAAATAGACCGCCTGACTTATGAATTGAACTACGGTGATAAATGAATCAAAGCCTTTCAAATTACCTTGTTTATATCTTTACTAAAAAAATGAATATTATATTTAAATATTAAACGGATCATAAATTTAAATTGTACAATATAATATTATATAAAGATGGTACAAATAGATAGATAGATTACAACATCACATTAACAAGGGAGGTTACTACTTTTAAAACTGATAATAAAACTAGCCCAGTCGTTAAAGTATACATGCACAGCGGTTATCAGATCTATAGTATTTAAATCGAAGTCGACGGATGCAAAAGTCTTACTCAATCTGAACAATAAGGGTGTGTGATCTTTACTTTTAAGTTTAGAAAGGTTGATCTAAGATGATTAGAATTGATGACCAAGGTCCATCTGCCAGTATTATACGAATTCAGGACGATAATGTGTTTTGCTTGATCAATTGATTGAAAATCAAATTTGCGCAATTTCACAATTAAAACCGGGATTAGCATTCAATCATTTTGTCATTCGGAGCCTATTCGGTATTAGTTTTGCTTATTTGTGAAAGCTATATGGTGACCTTAACTGGAGGGTGTGGATGGGGGTTTACGGAAAAGAGAATAGTGGGCAAAAAATATGAATAAAAGAGACAATGAACCAAGACATACAAAAAAAGAATAATGAGGTGTTTAAATATGAATAGAACAAAATAATTGACAAAAAGAAACAAAGAATAGAGATAGATGGCCTAAAACACTAATTAAAGAATAGAGAAAAATGGTATAACATATCAAAGAATACAGAAATGAAGAACCCCGCATCCAGACCATCGTACTAGTTGCCTAAACCAACGTTATTTTGTCTCCGGTAGATTGTAATTGGTTATCATACGTTTTCTTTTTATTTCTATGCCTATCAATTAAGACGTGAGCTTTCATAATTTGCCAGCATATTACATTACAAAAAAAGACTAAGCCGAACATCACCCTGGATTTTTTCTCTTTCTTTTCTTCTAATGCAGAACAATAGTTACTTTTCATGAACTATTTGACAGGATACCGAGAATATGGAAAGCTATTTCACACAATAGTGCAATTTTGCCAACATTGAAAATAATTTCATAGTTATTTACCATTCTATATACACTCAAAAGTGTTGACTATTTAAAATGTAAAGCGTGTAGCACGCTGTGGGATATATTGAAAGCGGTTTCTATTGCATTTATATAATTAATGAACAAGAAATGAAATTTTAAAATTCATTGAATAATGTCTTTGACTGTTTAATTATATATTAAAAACTGATAATATAGTGGTTATATATTAATAAAAACATCCGAAGAACGTTTGAATCTTATGCAATATTTGGGTTTATATAAATATCTGAAAACTGGCTGCCATCGAAGTGGCTACTAGCGAGTGGCTGCTTGCTTGAGCCTGGTCTTACAAACTCCATATTTTCATTCACGTCTTCACATTACAGGTTGCAACACCTTGCCAAATTATTGGGTTCCAATAAACGTTTAGCAAATTATGCCAATGTGCTTTCTCATGGGGTTTTATGCAGAAAAATTACCGGAAATCTATGGTAGTTTGCAAAATACTTGTCAAAATCGAAATCTTACTGAACAAAGTAGATACCTTCATTAAAAAAGGTTGAGGCATTGAAGGCCAAACAAGTTTTCACATTTCACATTCTTGCGTGTCTAATTGTAATCAGACGGTCGTTGTAGAGTTCCAAGAAGTTTACAAATTAATTTAATACAAAGGCAAAAAATAACGTAAAGTTTCATTGGTGAAATTAAGACTGAGAATGGAAATGAAGAATGTGTCAAAGAGAAAACAACCCAACCAAAGAACAGAAAACAGCTGAAGGCCACCAATGGGTCTTCAACACAACGGTATTTTCAACCAGAGGCGGGCTTCAGCTGGCCCCTAAATAAAAATGTATACTAGTTCAGTAAAAATGGACGTCACACTAAACTAAAAATTAAAAAAAAACATACAAGACTAACAAAGGCCAGAGGCTCCTGACTTGAGACAGGCGCAAAAGTGCGGCGGGGTTAAACATGTTTTGTGAGATCTCAACCCTCCCCCTATACCACTATAGCTAGCCAATGTAGAGAAAACTAGCACACAGCAATACGCACAGTAAAACTCAGTTTAAAAGAAGTCCGAGTCCGATGTCAGAATAGGTAACAAAAGAAACTTAGCAAAATGACAATGATTCATAACTTAACAAA